TAACTTAAACCTTTTAATTCGAAGTCTTAGCTAATAGTTAAGCTCTTTTAATCTAGTTTTCCAAATCAGCTTTCTTCTTAGAAATCTCAACATCAAATTTCTATTAAAATAATGGATTTTCAGCTCTTGGCAATTATACAACCATTGAAGGATAAACACCTTTTCCAATAATTGTAATTGGTTCTGGCTCATAATATCCTATCTACACCAATATAATTTCCTTGAATTCTGCAGGTATTACAGGTGAAACTCTTACTGTTATTCTGAGTTTCTCTCCTCCTGCAATCTTTCCATTCTAAGGTTATACATCCACAAATCCTTTCTTTTTTACATGTCTCAAATCAATCTTAAATTCAAATGTAACCTTTCCTGTATTTTCAATTGTAAATTCTCTAGAAACCCATTCACAAAATCTAACATCACCTAATTCAATTAAAGTTGTGCTCATTTTAGATGATAACAAACTACTATCTCCTACTAAAGTCACTTCATATTCAGGACCACCATCAACATGGCAAACAGCAGTAGTTTTGAATCTCTATCCTCCTATGGCATTATAAACAAATTCAACTTATTCTTCTGATCCAGGTTCCATATAACCACTTAATGGTAAGATATCAAATATTTCATTAATAGGTATATTTGGTTATTGACCTTAAGTAGATAATTCTTCACTTACAAAAGTCCATTCATAATTTAATGCCATTTCACTTTGATTTTTCATTGTCATAACCATTTTCTTTGTTGTATCATATAAGATGGAACCAAAATTAATAAGATTTGTTTCCATAATTAAATTTGGAAAATGGACTTAACCAATTAAATCAATCAAATCTTTATGTGGATGATCATAATGAGATAATTATAATTTTCCTTCTAAATCACCAGATTTACGATCAGATTTAAAAGCAGGATCAAAATCAATTCTAACAACTGCACTTTTACCTGGATTCAATTACAACTTGTCTGAATTAACTGTGAATGGTTATTAACACTTTAAATCAAAATTTACAGGTAAAGGGCAAGCACAAGTGATTTCAAGATTTTTTGAAATAGGCATAAATGGAACATTCTTTTCCCAAGAATATTTAAAAAAAAGTTTCTTTTCAGAAAATTACAAAGTAGGTTATATGAAATCACCTTCAATTGTTGTTGGAAATAATAGATTTGCTTTCCTTTCAGTTCCTATAGTGGAATGTAACATAAATATTTCAGAAATCTTTCCTTTCTTTTAGGAATATCCTCTAAATTAAAACATAATACCATGTTTAGGTGGTAAAACAATAGTATCAGGAGCAATAGAGAATACTGATTCTTCTTCTGGTGGAGGAGGAGCTTTATTATTTTTTTAATCTTATTCTTCCTTTTTCTATTGGGGTTTCTTCTAACTCCATTATAATTTTTATGGTTTTCTACCTTTATTCTCTACAAAGATTTCCTTAGTAACTTTTCTGTGAGTATAATTAACTCCCATATTAACAGATGATAAATCATCTTTACAAAATATTGTTGATCCAATTCCTTTTGCTTTTAATTGTACTTCTACATCATCACCTTCTTTAATTACAAAATGAAGAACATCAGAAACTTTAACAGCATCATCTGCACTACAAAGTACTTCAATTTCACAACTCTCTTTTGGTTTTATAATTCCATGTTTTTAGATTGGTTTAAATATTGAGATTTTATTTTTTGTGAAAGCATGGAAATCAGCTTCAATATCACTATCATTAGTTAATGTTAATTTAAGTGAGTAATCCTTTAAGACATCAACATTTCCAAAATCTAATTCTGTTTTTGATGTTTTTACTTTAGGTCCTTCTGAAAATGCCACAATTGTTATTACATGAGGTTAACCATTATTAGTACCAACTATATTTATTTATAAAGGTAAGGTAATATCATATAATTTCTTTGTAGTCAATGTCACTTCCAAAGACATAGTTGAATTACCATTAATCTTACCACTTGATGGTTCGACTGTATAATCTGCCAAAACCTTATATTCATCATTTTAAGGTAAAACTACGAATTTGGCTGGTAATTCAGATGTATTAATTAAATCAACTCTTGATTTACATGGATTTCTTAAGAATACTTTTTAATCATCTCCTTTGTTAAAATTCAATCTATCACTAGGTCTTAATTCTACTCTTGGAGCTTAACAATCAGCTGTAATTGGTATAGATAACATATCTTATCCAACTCCTTCAATATCTACAACCATTACTTATTCATATGTTTTAATTTATTTTGGAATAAAAGTTACTTTTATTACATCAAAATTTTTAGGTTAGATTGTATTTCTTCTAGGTTCAATTTCAAATTCTCTTTCAGCTAATTTACCATCACCAGGTATTTTAAGTTCATATGTAAATGCAACTGTAGATGTGTTAGTCATTCTAATACTCTTTGTTTATTCAAATGAATAACTGACAGTACCAAATTGAATTTTTTCATCCTAAAAATTGAATGTAGGAGCAATCACATGTCCAATAAATAATATTGTTAATTAATCTGTTGATCCTTCTAATTTCCATCTAAAAGTTTCTTTAAATTCACCTGGTATACTAGATTTAAATGTTATTGTAAATGGCATTCTTTAACCAACTGCTAATACTCCTCTTTCAACATCAAATTTAAACATCTTTCCAAATGCTCTTTCATTTGGCATCAATTCAAATTTACATTCTATTTCTCCTCTATTTTCTATTACAACTTCAGTTTTATGAATTTCATTAACAAAAACATCTCCTAAATTCACTTCATAAACACTTAAAAATGCCCTTGGACCCATACCTTGACCATATAAATTTAATGGCAATCTTTCCTCTGAGCATGATATATTGCAATAAGCAACTGTCTAATACAGAAATGCACTTCTAGGCACAAAGGTTACTGTAACTGTCATCTCAGAATTAGGCCAAATTTATCCTTATGTTGGTTCAATAGTAAATATATCATCAATAAAAAGAAGTAGATCATCTTCAATAGCTTTACGAATATTTCTATATTTCCTTGCCAATTATAATTCAGCTTTCTTTTATTTTTTCAAAATAATAGCTTTTTCATCTCGCTCTTCTTCTTCACTATCTTCATCCTCTTCTAATTCTAATTCTTCATGTACTCCTTCATTTGAGACCAATTCTTTGATAAGCATTCTCTCTTCTGCTTCTTCTTCTTCCAATTGATTTCTCAATCTATTCTTCTTTTCTTATTCCTCTTTTTCTGTTGCAAAAGCTCTCCATTCAAAATCTACTTTCACATTAGATTTATTGATAATCTATAATGTCTATTGTAATTGGAGACCAATAAAAGCTTCAGTCATATTAATTTAACTTTTAGATAGATAGACATTTCCATTATGTGCAACCCCAATAATGGGTACATAAGCTTCCATATTATCATACTATAATATTGCCTTATTTTTATAGGATCTAGCTTCAGTTGGAAAGAATCTGTTAATACATTTAATATGTATAATTACTTGATGACTATTTACTCATTTTTGCCATATTCTAAGACTCCTTCTCTCTTATCAGCATCAAAACCTAAGGGTAATTTCAAGAACCATTTAGTGGTCTTCTCTCCTAAATTTCTAATGATAACTGGTTTTTCAGTGGTGTATTTGACAGGACAATTTCCAAAATCGAGAGAATCAGGAAAATCTAAAGAATCTAAATAATTATATACCAATCATAGCTCTTTTTCCTACTGCAACAATTGGAACAACAAATTTCTCTCTTTCTGTTTCAACTATAACATCATAATTATAATCTGATTTCGACTCAGGAGAAAAACGAATAATGAAGTTGGTTTCCATACCTGGAGCAACCTAATGGATGATAATCATAAAATAAATGCCTTGGTCCCTGTTCCTGCATCTTTTCCATTAGTACCTTAAGGCACAACTTAAAATAAGCGAGAGTCAGGCTTATATATTTTAACCCTTCTAGCTACCCGATCTTTGTTACGCAACTTGAAAATCTTCTCCTTTATTTACAATGGCTTATTTGCTTTTAAAAAGTAAGATGTACCTCATAGTCTGTGAATTGTATTATAGGTGGAATAGGATCAAACAGCGGTTCATCGATTGGGACACTACTCACAGGTTGAGAAGAGAAGTCAGCCAGATTCTAAAATTCAATGATTTTTATTTTAGGATGTGCATCTTCAAAAATCTATCCAGATAATTGCTTCTAAATCAATTAAGATGGAGTCTAAATTATGAGAGAGGAATACAAATTCTTAAATTTTAGCTTGTCTATTTGTCTAGGTAAGCTTCTTCTGCATCATCAGTTATTTAATTTAATAAATTATATTTTTTATATCACTAAATCATTTATATCAGGGAGTCCGCCACATTCTTTTTAAATAATTAATCTATATTTAGTTAATGAACTTATTCATAATATATACCTAATACTAATAAAATATCTTAACACTAAGTAAAGTAATGAAAAAAAAATAGGAAACCAAAATGTTTGTATAATAAAATTATTAAGTGTAAATCTAGATTTGAAAAGGAAATAAAATAATGATTTAATAGTCCCAACAAATAAAATAGCAATACAAAATTAATTTAAATAAACTAATTTCTTCAAATTAATAAAATAATATAGAGTCAATCAAATAATATTGGCAAATACTAAAATGAACTCAAATATCTTTTTATCATTCTTAAAATAACAAATTATTAAAATAGGATCTATAATTAAATGTGAATCTTGTCCATAAATTATCAGCCTATCATAATTCTTAAAAGTAAACATTCAAGCAAAATTAACAAATATCCATTTTAGTACTGAAACCAAAAACGATAAAATCTAAATAGTATTTAAAATTCTAAATAAATTAAGATTTATATAAAAAATTCTTATGAATTTTATATTATACTAAGTATCTTAATATTTATATTAATTTCTTTACCAAATTGATTCTTATAAAAATATTGATTTAAATAAAAAATAAATCAAGATATAAACTTACTCATAATTAACTCACTATATCCATTACAACTGCTATAATCCCAAAAATAGTATATAAATATTAGCAATAATCCAAATTAGAACTGTTTCCTATATTTTCTTATTGTCATACACAAATATATTGATGAATTTATTTTTAATGAACATAAACTATTATTGGTAATAATTCTAAATAGTAAGAACTTTAATGTTAGTTAAAAAATAATACCAATACAATATCTCATCTTTATTGTTCTATATCTTAAAAATCAGAGTCAGGATGTATTTAAATAATTTTAATCTACCTCTTCTTAAACAGAATTTGAAATAAAACAAAATAATATGCACTCTCCGTAAATATTAAATCATTTGATTTGTTATATCATCTATTTTGGAAATCATGTAATATTGACAAAAAATATCCAAAAGATAAAATTGATACTTATCTAAAAATTGTCTATTTAATACGTAATAACAACCTTCACACATTCCATATCATATAAATGTTCTTAATCTTCCAATAAATCATTTATAGATGTTGTACAGAAATGAATATTGAATTTCAAAATAATATACTTAATTCAGCTATCAGAAATTCTTTTATGAAACATCTTGATGAATTTAGTAAAGATTACATCAAGGAAAAATCAATATTATGGAATTTTAAATAAATTTACTTGGCATAGATCTTATATTAAATGAGATGCAATAAATGTCAAATTTTATATATTTATATAATTCTAGTTAATATAATATTAACAATATTATGTAATAATTTTTGAAAAACACAAAATATTAAATAATTTATACTAATGGTAATCATCAATACTCATACATATATCTGTATAACCACTAATATGAATTTAATTATTAATATTCATTTCTAAATTCTCTCTATACAGATTTAAGTTCTAAATATAAATAATAATTCAAATTATATTTATGGATATAATTTCTTTTAAATATTAAATTTAACAATTTTATTTTTCTTATATAATAGAAAAAGTATTTTTAAAGGTTAGTCAAAACCGAAATTACAATCTATATAATTGAACATAATATTCAATCAAAATGAATTGGCTTGCTTAGATTTTATAATTCTTCGAATAAGGCTTTAATTTATTCCTAATCATCAACTTCTTATTTTGGTGATTCAAATAATGGTTAATTTAGATTTGTTTCTAGAGTATGAAGTTCATTCTATAAGAATTTAGTTGTGAAATATTAGGAGATATCTTGTGTTATTAATATAAATTACTTTTAAACTTTTTATGTTAAGACATAGCTCCTATGATAATATCTATCCTCTCCAATTTATGATTCACTTAATCAAACTGACTATGTAATAACTACAATATAATGAGTTTCAACCTTTTTGAGATTCCACATTTCTTCCAAAAGCACACCACTCTTTTATTTTAATATTTGCATATCTTCATCTAATCTTGTATTTGTATCTTTAATATCAGATGCACACACCCTTAAGATATTTTACTCTTCCTTCAATTTAGCAGCTAAACAAATTATATTATAAAATACATGGTTGATTAGGATTTACAGATTCCTAATTCCCATCATCATTGTTTCTTCGCTTTATAAATTGTAACATCTATCTATTAAAAGGATGTTTAAAATTATTACTTTACTCCTTTTCTAAAACATTTGTGTTTAAATTCTTAGCCATCCTAATGTTTACTCTTTTTAAAATTATATAAATTCAATTGTCTAACTAATCCTTCTTTAAATTTACCTAAGAAAACTGGAATAATTTCTATGTTTAAAATATTATGGCAACACTTATTATTATAATAATTTTTGGCTTTTTACTACAAAACTTAATCCTTCCTCAGTCCAAGAAACTATATGAGATATTGATTGATCCTAAACCTTTATATAAAATTTACTTCTAGCATTTCAAATGTTTTAGTTATAAAAGTTGGAACTAATGAACGAGTAGCCATTGTTAATAATATATAAATTAATTTTAATATACCAAATTATTCATTTAGTATTGTAAATAACATACTGAAACTAATTTATTAAGGTAATTTTTAGGTTCAGCTAAGATAGAGATATTAATTTAATTGTTTTCATTAATATATTAATAAATCAATACACATCAAATTAAAATACTTTGATTAATAACAATTCCCTTAAACTAATTTTATATTCTGTAAGAATATTGATAATTATATCACTAATTCAGGTATATATTTACAACAAAATCAAAAAGATATATACATAAATATTTTGATTTAATTGCTTTTTTTAAGAAATTTTTGAAAATATTCCAGATTTAAGATTTATTTATTTACTATTAGTTTATTTGTGATTGAAAAGTATTATTAAAATTTATAGATTCAATTATTTTATTTTAAATCTCTTTGAAATCAAGTATTCTTATTTTAAATTAATAAAAAATTGATTATATTCATTTTTTTCATTCTTTATTTGCTGATACATTTTCTTATATATTCCTTCTATTATCATACTCTATGTTTGAATTTGAAAATGATATCTAATAAATCAAATTATTTTTTATTAAAATAATCAAATTATGATTCTAAGTTATGTTTAATTATAAATAATAATTTTATTTGACAATTATTATCTTTAGTCTTACCTATTTAATGACAATCATAATGTCTTCTTTAGAGAATATAGAAATATTTATATATATTTTTTCATTTGGTCTAGAATAGTACTAAATTAGTTGATATTATTGTTTCTTTAATTATGATGAGTCTTTTTAAGTTGAATTTCTTATTTAATTAATTTTAGAGCTTTTTCCAATATTACAGAGTAATTATTGATTAAATGTGTATTATTATTAAAATTAGAAACTACTCATATTTAGCAAATATAAAATTCTTTTTTATATTAACAATTAGTATAGAAATTATTTTGGAATACTCAAATTTGCCTATATATATTCATTTTATTTTATATTTAAAAAAAAATGAGATCAATAAATAATTCGATAGATACTCCCTCTATAAAAGTTAAATTTAATCAAAATGATAAAGTTGATGAAATGAAAACCACAAAAACCATGAAAAAAAAACATGTTTAACCAGAATTATAAATAGTTTGGGAATTTTATATGTATATGATCATGTCTATTTTGATTGAGATTATCGTATTAATTTTTAACAACTAGACTTAAGTTCTCAATATGATTAGAATAATAGTATTTATACTTATTTTTATGGGATCACTCATTTACATAAAAAAATTACAGTAAAATTAATTGTTGTGCTTGATATGTTTGATTAAAATATTTTAGACTTCAACCATTTACTTAAACGATGAAGTTTATTTAATTGCTATAATCCCATTTGCATATGATTAAATTGTTAACAACAATAAAGTTGCAATTAAATTGAAAGTGCTTGAAAAAATATTAATGAAAGTCATAGTTGTAAGTTTAATTTGCATTTTTTCAAAATAACCTATAGCCATAACAATAAATTTATGTTTAGTGATTTTAGAAATCTATAGAAATCGTATTATTTTTACAAAAAAAGAGGAGAAATAATCTTTAATTAAACATTAAATACCTCTTGATTATGAATAAGTTTCTCATAGTGTTACTTAGAGAGTAGATAATAATTAAAGAGAAGATGTATGGAAGAAACGATTTTATTCGATTCCTTTATCAATTTTAATGATCTCAAAAGAGACTTTAAAAATTACTTATAAAAATCAGACTTTATTTAAATAATTTTGTGATAGTTTTATTAATGAAGAGGAATTAGAAGATCTTATATTAAATAAATTACATTTTTCACTTTTATCAGATCATTAAGAATTTTTATAATTATCTTCTACAAATATTATTAAATTAAAATAAAAAAAATCAAATTCATCAAATATTTTTAATTAGAAATCTTGTATGACTTAATTAAGTTCTTATGATTTAATGTAAAAAAGATCATTGATAGAAATTTTGACTTCAATCAAAAGCGAAACTTATAATTTATAAAAAGACGTTATTGAGTTATTTTGTCAGTAAACTGAAATATCTGGTGCAAAATATTAATTAGAAGCTAAAATTATTTTGTCTGATAAAGATGATGAATTTTTTGTAACAATTAATGACACAACAAAATAAAATGAAATCCAGTAATTCATTGTAAAAGAAGAATTTAAAAGCAAAGTAAATTATTTATATATTTGAGATTATAGAATCATTTTCGCATGAATTAAGAACTCCATTAAATAGTGCTATTAATTTTTTAGAGGCTTCAATATCTGATAGTACTATAGATGATAAATTGAAACTTTAAACTCTTGAACCAGCAGTCTATTCATTAAAATTACAATCATATTTAATTAATGATATCATAGATTATTAAAATTATAATGCAAATCAATTAGAACTATATGTAACTGAATTTTCAGTATAAGATTTTCTAAGTGAATTGACATCCCTATTTAGTATTTAATTTGATATGAAGAAGATTGCTTTCAATTTAAATTTAAAAAAAAATAGTTTACAATATTTTAGTACTGATCAAACAAGACTAACTTAAATATTAGTTAATCTTTTGTAAAATTCACTTAAATACACTTCGAGTGGTGTAATACAACTAAAATTTAGTAGTGTATCAAATGATATACTAAAAATTGTTATTCAAGATTCTGGTATAGGAATAGCTCCTAATGTTTTAGAATAAGTTAGAGTTACTCTTAAAAATGTTGAAGAAAGTAAGGATTTTTAAACATTTAAAGCATGGAAAGGTTTTGGTTTATTAATAGTTGCTTTATTGCATTAAAGTCTATGTCCTCCAACATATAAGTCAATTTAAATTGAATCAACTGGATTTAATAAGGGTACTAAGATTAAGTTTTATATATTAAATTTTAATTACAGTTCGAAATAAAATACTATTAAATAATCATTCAGTGCAAAAAATACACTAAGATAATCATAAAGTGTTAAGAGATCTTTAAAATCCAATTCTCTTAGTTAGATATTGCCAATGAATGGAACAATTTATTTAGCTTAAGATATTGCCTAGGTAAGTTAACATATGAAAAAAAGTGAAAGATTTTTAAATTCTGGTTCAAATACTTTGGATGATTTTTCAGAATTATCAAGAAGTCCTAAAATTTAATTTTGTTCACCTGATGCTAATATATCTTAATTAGTTTAAATTTAACCAGTTTTGATTACAGATATTAAATCAAGTTAAAAGATATCAATCAAAAATAAAAATCCTTTATTTTAATCATATAAATCATAAAAATCATAATTGGTTAATTTAAATTAATTTAGAAAAATGGAAACATAATATAGAGAAGATATATTCAAAACTTTGGCAACAAAAAAGAATAAATGTAATTGTAATTTCATTTTATCAGTTGATGATGAAATATTTAATTAAAAATCAGTTGAAAGACTTTTATAATAAATTGGATTTGATGTTAAATTAGCATTTAGTGGTGATGAAGCAATAAATTTAATTTTAAATTTGAAACCTTGTAGTTTAGGTTGTAATATATTAACCCTTATTTTAATGGATTATTAGATGCCAAGAAAAGATGGAATAACAACAACAAAAGAATTGAGAAAACTCATGTCAGATGGTTAGATTCCTGAAATTCCAATAATTGGTTTAACTGCCTTTACAGGTCAATAAGATATTAGAAATTGTTTAATTGCAGGCATGAGTGATGTGTTATCAAAACCTTTAAAAATATAGGAATTAAAAGATGTATTAGCATCTCTATGATTATAAATACTGTATATATATTTAATTAGAATAATCATAATAATGTTAGTAGTTCACAAAAATCATTAAGTTTTAAGGGTTTAAAAAGTACTTCTAGCATTCCAGCATTCAGACAACTTTCAACTTCTAATTTACTAGTAAATGCAGTTAATCCTATAATGTTGATATTTGGTATTATATCATCTTTCATCATTTTCTTTAATTGAATTGTACATTCAATACCATCTATAACAGGCATTGAATAATCCATTAAAATAAGATTCAATAAACCACATTCTTTAGAACATTTTTAAAGTTATTATATTTTTTAAATGGCCTCCAAACCATTAAAAGCCTTAAAATATAAATATAAAATTACAATAATAACTTCAAAACCGAATCTCTCAATTAATAATTTGATTGAATTTTAATTAAAAATTTCATCATCAACTGACATTATCCTTCTGCATTAACAACATAGATTCTTCTTAAAATTTTCTAATGCAGAATCATTACTTTGTCTCTCCATTATTTTTAACTAAGTGTAACTAAGTATCTTTGATCTAAAGTTTAAAAATATGATTTACTTCATTGATGGTGATTTAATTGATTGTTACTCAAATGATCCACTTAACTTTTTTTTATCGATAATGTTAATTATGAAATTATGTTGTTAATTCTCTAATTATATGTATTATTATGATAAATTTTATTATTTATTTTCAGATTCAATAGATTCTTAATCATAATCAGTACTTCCTTTAAATATTTTATTTAATGTAGGTTTTGGTTTATTAATTAATCCTAGATTTGAAGTACTGATAGCATTTTCATTTACAAAGATAAGTGTTCCTATAAGATTATTTTGACAATTCTTTTTAGAATTCCTTCTAAATTTAACAGATTTTTTTCTAGAGATATCATCAGTATTGTTGTTAATTTCATCTATTAATATTTACTTAATTTTAAATTTAAATTTAGTGCCTTTATTTAATTTAGATTTAATTTAAAAAGTTTCTGATAATTATGGATTCAATTGATGCAACAAAATACTAGTAATAAGTAATCCTATCCCATTCCATGATTTCAATTTAGAAAAATGTCTTAAATTCTCTACTTGATTCACATAAGTGTTCAATTTTTTTGTAATTTCTGATTTTATTCCTATTCCTGTATCAGAAACAGAAAATTATATTATATCATCTTGTTAATTCTTAATTTTTAAAATTGCACCTCCATTGTATGTATATTTTAAAGAATTTTAGATCACATTTACTAAAATTTACATTAGTCTATTATAATCGGTTGACATATGAATTGAAGTATTCTAAGTTAGATCTATTACAAAATTTAAACCTTTTTCTTAGAATTATAAATTAAAAATGCTGGTTATTTCATTTATTACATCTTTTATTTCAAATTCTTTTACACAAACGTCTAAACTATTATTGTAGAATTATGAAAAGTCTATGACATCGTTGATTATATATGATTATAACTATAAGGCTATTGAGGCAGGTTCTAAACATTATTATTTAATAGACAATGGTAATTATTCATCAGCCATTGCAGATTTAATAAAGTTTATTGAACTATTCAATGGTGTTTTAAGTTCATGTGAGAGTGATTCTATGACCTACAATATTAAGAAAAAGTACTTTCTTTTAAAATTCATCTTTAACAATGAATTATTATAATTGCATTTATTTAGAAATGTCTGATAATATAATAGTTAATTCATCATCTCCATTACTATAAAATATTGTTCCATTGATTTAAAACTATTATGAATCTAAAATTTAGTGGCAATATAATTCAATTGAATTAGAATATGGTTTCATTAGATTTTAATAAGCACCTGCTAAGAAATTTTATGAAATCTATGAAAGTGATAATTTTTTTAAATTTTCAATATCAAATTAACTTGAAAAGGTTTAATTAACAGGTTTATTTAAAAATTATTTTCTTATAATATAGCTACTAGAATTTTTTAACATTTCTAAACTATCCTCTAAAAATGTGAATTCCAATTTATTCATTATTAAATCATTAATTTCATTATCATTATAACATAATGTATTAAAATTCTTTCTAGCTGTCTCATTCTTAAATTTAATAGCTAAAGATGTTTTATTTAAAATAATAATTGAAATTGGTATAGCATGCATTCTCTTTATCCAAAGTTCTTCATTATTAATTAGATTTTCATTATTGTTTTGAACTTAAAATTTTGTGAAAATATCATCTTTATTAATTTCTTCATTTTTCATTTAATTTTCAACCAAATTTATATTTTCACTATTGATTTTCTACCCATCAACAGAAAATAGTTTTTGATGAGTTTCTAATTTATATTTTTATGTTTGCTTATTTGTTACATACAACAAAATAATTTAATAAATCTCAAGTACAATAGAATTGCATATAATAATAATTAAAACCTAGTTGTTCCAATAAAGTGATGCATAAGTTAAACCTAACACTTTAATAATGAGATAATCATATAAATAATGATAATTTTCTTAGTTTTTCATAAAAATTCCTTTATCAAACATCAGTGGTAGAATGGCTAAACTATTCCATTCATCTTTTGATATTAATTAACTGATTGAAACTATTTCACAAATAAATTTAATAAATCTAGCAATCATTGGATCAAGTCTCTTTCTTAAGACAATTGCTATTAATGTTAGACTCGATGTTAATATGAATTTGATAAGCATAAATTATGAGTATGTGTGATTATATATATAATAGGCTAAATTACTAAATGAAAGTAGTAGTAAGTAGAATTCAACAGTATAGTTATTAGCAAAACACATATTCTCAAAACTTATGACATCAAATTCTTTTGGTTAACATTCTATTTTTATTTTCGTATGACTCATAAATTTATCAAGAAAAACTTTATTATCTTATATATTAATTAAATGCTGTAAGAAAATTAAACTCAACTCAATTTTAATCGGTTACAATATTCTCAATAATGACTTTGCAAAATAAAAATGAATTTATAGATATTTCTTAGTAAATATTATTTCATTTACAAAACTTCTTACATATTTATATTATAGCTTAGGTAATTTATATTGAAGTCATCTTTATTAGGATGTTATAACTCTAATTTAAGAAAGAGTTAAATGATTGAAAAAACATTAATTTTAAATATTATATTATTATTCTTATAACTTTTATTCATTAATCTCACCACTTTCAAATATGTTGCTCTAATTCTGATTACCAAATATAAAATCTCTTTTTTGAATTAAGAACTTTATTCTTAATTACATAATTAATTAGCTAAAAATTAATTAAAAGTGAAATTTATTGCATACAACTAATCTGATCGATGTAACATAGGTGATGAATTTAGATCCTATGAATGTTATTATGTTGTATAAAGGTTATTCCTATTTATTCTGCAGAAAAAGATAGCAATTAAAGAATGTTTTAAATTATATAAAGTTTAGCCATACTTAAAATATTTGAGAGAGAATAAAACAACATTAAAAGAAATATACAATTTTATTATGAATTATTATAAAGAGTTATATAAAATTATATATTTTAAGGAAATTCTCTTAAATTAGGTATTAATAATTGTAAATTATATAAAATATATCTAATATTTGAATGATTAAAAATGAGTTTTATTGTTAAATTTCATAATTTTAAACATAATGTTATCCTTAAACAATAGTTTGATTAATGTTTTTTAAATAAAAGAAAATATTTAATGACCGTAAATATAAATTATAGTTTTAATTATTTAGATGTAATAAAAAGGATAATTTAAAAAATAGTAAATAGAAAAACAAAATATTATCAAATATTGAGTCGATGAAAAGAATCGCAAAGTTTTTCTTTTGTTATAGGTTTAATTAATACAGTATTGAAACCCTCATGAATGCTTTTCTATTAATCTTAAATACTACAAAAAGCTGTAACTGCAATTACAGGTATAGTTCGAGTTAATTTAATTTAATATTCCATTTGTCTAATTCTTTATACAGCTTCCCAACCACTCATAATTGGCATACTGATGTCCATTAATATGCATTTATAACCAATACAAGTTGATTTATTACATCTATTTGCTAATTAAACTTCTATTTTTTCTATAGCCTATTTACCATTAAATGCATAATCAACATCATAACCTAATTATTTCATTAGATGGGAAAGAATATGAATATTAAATTACTCATCATCTACTATTAATGTCTTTTTGCAATTACAAATACATGTTTCTACATTTCCTATCTAGTTTTCCATTTAAGATTTACTACATTTATTATAATTCATCACTCGAACTTATTAAGTGCTTTATTATTCTATAAATGGAATTGTATGTATAAATGAATTTTATAAATTATTTTGATCTTAGTTAATTTACTCTTCATCAAATTATAATACGAAATAAAATTATGAACCTTCACCCAATTATGATTCAACTGAAAGATAATTTTAATGGGCAGGTGCCAAATGTTTTATAATTTACTTACAAACCGATAATCCTAAGCTAATACCAACTGATTATTTGGATACTTTTTCATCTTCATCAGATAGATGCAACTATTTCTATTATAAATAATTATACTTTCTTTCTCAAATTACATAATTCTTTCTCACACATTCCTATTCCAGTATCACTTATAGAAACTTATATCAAATTTGAATCGGATTATTGAAATGATTGTACATCATCAATACCTTACATTGAATCTATATATTGTTTTTTCTAAACCTATATTGTAATTCCACCCTTTAAAGTAAATCTAATAGCATTTGCTATTAAATTTAAGAGTACTTAACATAATCTTTATCTATCACCTATTATTATATATGAAACCTCTGATAATTCAACATTTATTGATATAAGTTTTCTTTCAATTTAATCTCTTAATAAATCTACACATTCCCAAATAACTGAATTAATTTCAAATTTATCTGATTTCAATATTAATCTATCTTCTAGAATATCTCTGTAATCAAAAAAATCATATATTTTATACAATTATAATTTAGTATAACAAAGTGCTTATTCTAATTACTAAGTACAAGACTCTTAAGAAGATTATTTGTCTTGACATTATTTGATGAATCCAAAAATAGCATTAAGATTAGTTAGTAATTCATGAGAAATTGATCTAAGAATGTTCTTTTTAATTGATTCTAATTTCTTAAGTTTTGCTCTTAATAGAATTTAATTGATTTCATGAATAAAATAGATTTGTAATCCATCATCATTATCAAATAATCTACAATTCTCTAAGACATTAACTAGAAATTTCATTTTATGATTAATAGTAGGTTTAGATTTAGGAATCATATTTAAATCTTAATCTAATAAAGATTATTTATGATTTGAAATGCTATATTCTTTATTCTCTTTTGATAATAATTGATCAACAGAAATTTTACGACCTGGTGTCATATATACAGATGACTTATTTAATTTGATTTGATTTTAAGATCTTTTGCGAGAACTCTTTTTACCAGCTGAATGAATCATAATCTAAGGAGAATTATTGAATTCTATTTTCATAGTCACATCTGATGTGAACTTCTTTTTGATAATACTATCATCTTCTTAATTTTTAAATGATTAAAAGAATTTTTATTATTATTAGTGACTTTTAGGGGGTAATTATTAGATTTCAACAGAAAATCGATTTTATGATAATAATTGTGTTTTTTCTTTACAATAAGTTACATTTTTTATTTTATATTAATCTTCCATATCAAGATCATCATCATCTATATCAAATAGGGTTTGATTATTATTTAATTCATCCAATTGTAGGTTCTATAAAAAACTTAACTAATTTCGAGCTGAATGAATAGTAGAGGCTTTTTCAGGTGATTAATCAGTATCACTTTAATTTGTACTTTCTAATTTGTTAGCTAAATTATCAAAAATCTTATTTGAATAAAGTAAGAAATTCTTATCTTTATGAACAATACACATAGCTTAAGGAGTAGAATCAATTATCATAAATAATGCTTAAAGATTTTGAAAATGTTATAAATAAAGGAACTCTTTTCTTAATATTTATAAGATTAAAAGTACTGTTGAAATGTACAATCCTTCAAATGAGTTTAAGTCAGCAAGGAATATATTCTGAATTAAGAATAATAAAATTGTGAAAAACTTCATATGTAAAGTAGAGTACATGCTCTGATAGACAGTAATAAGGGTAATATAGAGCATAAAATAATCTTTGTCTTTGATAATGTAACAGATCCAATACATACAGTATTATTGAATGAGAGGTAAAAATTGAATGAGGAAATGGGATTCTTGTGAAATAGCTTTAGAAATAAATAAGAATAAGAGGATATGTATACATATTTGTATTGCTAATGTAATTTAAATGTACAAGTTATTTGCCATAATAGATAATCGTATTATAATGAAGATGATTTAGAGTATTAAAATTGGTCTGAATACAGTATCAGCCCATAAAAAGTGATTATGCCATCTCCATTGTTGATATTAATCCCACTTTAAGATTTTTAAATGCTTATAAAATGACTTCCAAATGATTTGCCATTAGGGCATGATTATTTTATTAAATATATATACATAAAGGATAATGTTTAATATATATGATTGTAACATATAAGTATTAATGCTAATCAATAATATCTTTAATTAATTTTATCTCTAACTTGCTTTTAGAGTACTCAAACTTGATATAAAAGATGAAGGAAGAAGACAATAATATCAAATAAGTAATCAAATATAAAAAATATAATCTAAGGAAGAAAACCAATTTTTTATCCCCCATTATATCATACCAATAAATTATGCTCCAATTCCAAATGAAATAGAGAATTACAAGATGGCAATTCATCATTTAACCGAGGAGAATCACTTTTTGAGAAAACAACTCTAACATAATTAAGTATCAGAGTTTCTCTCTTTGAATGCAGAATAACTAAAAGATGAAGTATTTAAAATGATTGACTATTTGATGAAAAATCTCAATTATTTACCAAAAGAATAAATCTTTGCATACAGAAAAACTATTCGATTGTGCACATAGAGAAGTGCACTTAAAAGAATCTATTTTCTTATATTTACTAGATATTTATAAGTAAATTGCATATAAACATGATAGGCTGAAAAAACTAAAGAAGAAATGATTAAATTCATTATTCGTAAAAGTGTGAAGTATTAAAAGTCCACTAGTACCATATAGAAACATTAAATGAAAAAAATGAATAATGCATTCGTTTAGCAATTATTTCTATCAACTCAATATCAGTAACATTACTCAAATTTTTTAAGTAAAAATAACATATATCAATTAGATCAATATCTACAATTAGCACTTGATGAAAATAAACACAAAATTCAAAAATATGTGGATTACATTGTTGAATAAATATCAAATGATTAAATAGATGTATTATTGTTATTTATTTTATTAGGATGTTCTAAATTATAAAAGATTTCCATGGTTGAATGAATGGATACAATAATCTGTCTAAATTGCTAAAGATCTATAGTTTAGTAGCAAACCATAAAGTTTGGAGAACAAGAAAAAAATTAAATTCTGATTAAACACTTAATTGGATATAATTATGAAGAAAAAAAAATAGTTTGTATTAGCTATTAATATTAAATTAATCAATTATTCATTATAGTCGAACAAATTGGACTATCTTATTCACAATCTATCTAAGCAATCTAATAAAACATAGCAGCCAAAGTCCATGTTGGAGTAATATTACCAATCAACTTAGGAGATCTTATTATTTAGTTCTATTTAATTCCATATCCATGACTCAATAAAGAATAAACATACAAAACTGAGAAATAATTTCCATTTGAATATTTATTCTTACTATAAATTTCATGTTGTTAAATTTCTTCATAACTCAAAGTACAGAATTTTACTGCATTAATAAAATATTATTCTAATGTATATTCTTCTAAATTTAAAAATTCAGCCATAAATTATACTCCTCCCAAACCATAAATTAATTCAGAATCTATTTCTGGTTAATAGACTCCATTAATACCACAATTTTCATAAATACATTTTGATTTATCATTATTAAGATATTGATTAATTAAGTCTACACATTTATTTATATTTCCTGTTCCAATAATTATATAAGATGAATTATATTTATATGTGTTTCTATAACCATTATGAAAACAAGGAGATTAATAAACTAAGTTATTTTTATCTAGTTTTTTCATTTCATTTTCAAATATAACTTTTTTTGCTTAATCTATTCCATAATATAAATAGGATTAAGAGTATATCTTATATTAATTGTGATTAGGAATTCTTAAATTTACTTCACTATTATCTATATTTTATTTAGGTTTAAAAGCCAATTAAGTAGATCCTCCTCCCAAATCAACAGTTAATGCATGTTCATTATCCGTTATTCCCAATTTACCTATCATATAGTTAATTGATAGCCACATATATGCTCCCTTTTGATCTTATAATGATATGTAATTACTTCCTCTTAACCTGTGATTATTCTACACCAATCATCTCTATGAAATAGGAATTTACTTGATCGAAAAATATCTCTTATTGTTGATATTATTTAAATCTAGTAAAATGTTGGAATCATTCTCATTCCTGCAGTTGCAGCCAACATAATTGGAGTGTATTTATGCATATTATAAGGTACATTCTCATATGCAAATTAAATTAGATCATCAATATAAGATTTCAAAGACTCTAAATCTTTTCCAAAAGAATCAATTCCTGGCTCAACCTTATATTCTAATGTCTTCTCAGTAATATTAATATAAGCCATTGTTTTATTTTCTCGGCAACTCCAAGAATATACATAAACTCTTGTACCTGAACTTCCAGCATCGAACATTACTCCATAACAAGTAGTATCTCCATATTAGAACCAATTTAATGGTTAGTAATGTTGATCAATAAGGTATGAGAGTGCAGGTGCAATAATATAAAAGATTATCATTTATTATTTAAATGAAACTAGAATTATTATTATCATTTTTTCAAACTATTCAAATTATAATCATTTTCTTAAATCTGTCAAAGATTTCACAATATTTGTCAATCTAGCAATTTCTAAATCTTTTGCTTCTATCAAATTTTCATAAAAAGCACTTCCACTAGATTATCCTGATTTTTATCTCATTGATAAATCTAATTTTGTATATTCACCTATCTAATTTTAATAATTTCTAATTTCCTATTCATAATTCATTCTTTCTTAATTTAATAATTATTCCATCTTTCTTACTTCTTATTTTAGATTATTTATTTCCTCTTTCATTTATTAATCCTATATATTATTAGTTTTCTAACGTTAAGAATTCTACATTTATTATTTCTCCAATTCTTTTCTATACTAAAAGTTTTCATTTTACAACAATTATATTTGTTTTACATATTATTCTGAAGTCTCTAAATTCTAATATTTTATAATAATACATGTACTTCTTATTTAAATTCTTCAAAATATTCAATTTTCTATCTGAATTCACTTACTTATAAATTCAATTATTTACATATTTTTTATGCTTTACTAATATAATATATAATAAAATACTCCAAATCATTATTTTTATCTTACAAATCTTATTCTAATTATCTTAGTTAATTAATTTTTAATTCCAACTAAGCTTTTAAATTTCTAGCTTCTTCCTTTAGAATTTTATTTATTTCTTATTATTTATTTAATTTATCCTTAAAATCTTATTCCATAGTATCTATTTATTTTGTGTATTACTTCTATAGTAAACTTAAATCATTTAATAACCTTAAAATCTCAAAACAATAATTTACTTATCATTTTCATGTTTCAATTAATTAAATTATTGTTATAATTATTGATGTTTATGTTATAACTGTGATAACATTTAATCACTTCCTTCATTATTATTTTCTAATTATTTTTTTATTTGATGTGCCTCAGTTAACTTATCTTCATAAGTTCTGATTACATCAATTTATTTTCTTGAAAAATCCTCTAATTCACTTAATGTTTTATGTAATTACTTAATCTCTGTCTCTCTTAATTATAATTAACTTGATATATGTTATAATTCATCCTATAACTCTTCTATTTAAGTAACAGCATCTTCATGTTATTTCTTATTTTCTGTTTATAATTACAATAATTATTTTTTCTTTTCATCCAATTATTTTTTTAATGTTTACTTGTCTTATTCAGCTAATTAATCTTAGGTTTGTCTTTAAGATTTGAGTTTCTAAAAATCTTTTTCAATAACATCCAATTATTATTTATATGTTTTATTTTCAAATTCCAATACTGAATTCTTATCATTTAATTTTTCTATTATATCTTATTATTCCAATTATTTAGATTATTATAAATTTAAATATTCTCTTTTCTTATTATCCAATTCTTTTTCTATTTATTCCATTGTTTATCTTTGTTTTTTATCTTATTACTCAAATAATTTAATATTCTATTCTTATTATGAAATTGTCAATTCTAATTCTTAAATTAAATTATCTTTTTCTTCTTTTTATTACATTAATTCTTATTATGCTAATTTTAATTTACGCATCAATTACTCATTATCATTATGTAATCCTTATGTTAATTATTGAAGTTTTGCCAATTATTCATTAAGTTATTCATTCTCTTAAATTAACTTTTCAGTTTATTCTGAATAAAACTTTTTCAATTGATCCAATTATTATAACCAATTTTATCTTTATTGTTTCATTTCAATAGACATTTATTATTCAATATCAATACCATTCAAATTTACATGTATCGAATCAATTTCATTTTTACAAAATTTAAGTAATTTTAATGCCTCATTTGAATCAGCCATATTCTAAAGTTCATTCAATATAATTATTAATCTATTTAAACCTTCTTCCAATATAATTTTAATTTTAGTACTCTATGATTATATTTATTCAAATTATGTTGATTTCTTTTTTAATTAAACTGCTAAATCATTTAATCTTTATTAAACCTTTGAATTGTGTCTTTCAATTGATAATTGTAATTCAGAATCCATCAAATCATCAGGAACTATAAATACAGGTATCTCAGAATTAAAAGCTCTATCTAATTCTTTATTTCTTGTATCCTTAGCTTTTTTAACTATACTTTATAATTATTGTAATTGATATTACAATTATTTATTATCAGTTTATTTTTATTCATACTATTATTATTCCAATCTTACTTATTCAAGTTATATTTCAAGTCCTTTGATTAAATTTTCAACTATTTCTTCTTTGTGTTATATGATCTAAGTTAAATCACGAACTATATTGGAAACATTCAAAGATATCATTTAGGCATCATCAGTCATCAATTGTTCATAATCATATGCTGATTCCTATTAATTTACATATTGTGAGAGAAAAGTCTTTGTTTATTAAGATAATGCTTAAAGTGTATTGATTAATTACTATTGAAAACGAGGTTGTTTATTTGAACTAGAATACTTAGTAGCACTTGAATATTTTTAAGCACTATTATATTATTATTTAGTTGGAGATTTTAATAAGGAAGGTTACTACAATTGTTATTGATATTATTTCAATTAATCCTCTTTCATTTACAATTCATCCAACAATATTTATTTATCATCTTTTGATTATTTTAATTCTTTTATTAGACGATCTGCTACTTCTTATAATTCTTGAGTTAGTTTTTATTCATGTTATAACATTTTTTAATAGACAACATCCTATTAGGATTATTTGAGATATTCAATTTTAGATTGCAATTATTCATTAACTTTAATTTGTTATTTTATTGTTCCTATGATTGTTTATTCATTAGGTGTAACATTTAATAGAGATGCCAAATTAATGAGTAATTAATTTGAACCTTCTTACTATTTCTTTTAGAGTATTGTATATTTATCAAATAGAGATACTAATTTTCTACCATAACATACACAAGAGTATTGTAGTTAAGTAATAAGATCTTTATCATTTTTATATTCTTTTATAACTGGGAGTGAGTCAAATAGTTAATTTGAATAAGTTTGGATTTTCAAAAAATCGTTGTCTAATTTCATTCGTTATTTAATTAAATAAAACAATATATTAGAAATATACTTAGATCTTCATAATATTTATATAATATATACATTAATAGTTTGATTGCATATTAAATAAAACAAATAATAATATATATCATATATCTAAATTATATATTTTCACTCTAATTTCTTAATAATGACTTGGCATAATCTCATTAATAGGTTTTCCATCCAAAAATTATTAGATACTATTACTATTTATAACCTAATAATAATAAGTTAAATAATCCAATAACAAAATACCAGTTTCATTTTATTCATTTATTCTAAGTTAATGATTCAATTCTCTAATAATCTCTTTTAAAATAGATATATCACCCTATTAAGATATTCCATAAAATTCTTTATATTTAAGATAGGATTCTCTAAATTAATATTTATTAAGTATAGCAATCACAAATTAATGATTAAAATTAATCACTTTAATATTATTAATTCCTTTTTCATATGCTTCTTTTAGCTTGTAATAAATATTACACATACTTTATTCATAATTTCCATCACTTCTCTACCAAAATATCCTATAATCTTCTCTTTCAATCTTGGAGATTATAGATATTTTATATGATCAATCAATTAACAAGTACGATAGACAAATTTACATTAATTCAACAAATTGCAAATTATTTCTTCTGCTTGAGATTCTATATTCAAAATTAAAGGAAATAATACCATAATGAAAACTTTAGTATGTGTGTTAAATTATTGTTCCCATTTTTTCTTTTACTTAATTCGATTTTTAATGCTTATGTGAAGTAGATCCACTTCTTGTACATTGCTATGTTTAATTCACTCTAACAACATTAATATTAGTAATTGATTTATTGAATGAATTACTAACTAAAGCTCCTCTCATTTTATTTAAGGCAGTTGTATTTCTACGTAAAAAAAGTGGATGTTAATCAATTTCAATCAAAGATAACCTCTGATTTTCATCCACTTACAAGGCTCTCCTTAAAAAATCTTTTGATTCCTCTGATATAGGAACGTTACGATTAAAATGTAATTATGATACAGATTCTTAAAATTCACTTTCAGAATTTATTACCCATGGACATTAACCATATAACATTTAATAATAGACAACGCCAATACTCCATATATCACTCTTCTCAGAATATTTATTCTCTAAATAACTTTCAGGACTCATATAAATAGGAGTACCTACTTTATAAAATACTTTCTCTTTTGGAGCCTTTATCATTTTAGAGAAACCATAATCAGCTAATTTTGGAACTGAATTCTTTATTAAGATATTTGTTGGTTTAATATCTCTATGAATTACTCCTTTTCTAATTTACTCTTTAAATCCATTGATTATATGTCTCAATATTTTAAAGGCTTCAACTTCAGGTATTATACCTTATTATTAAATAAGTTTGCCTAAATCCCCTTAATTACAATATTCAGTGATTATGTATGTATTGTTATTAGTATGATAATAATCATGCAATTTGATAACATTGACTGACTATATTAATTTGAGTGCATTGATCTCTTAATTAATCAACTATCTCTCTATCTCATTACTTATTGCTTTCACATCAATTACTTTTACAGCAACAACTTCTCCATTGTTCTCATCTTTCCCCTTATACACCTTAGAACTGTATCCACGTCCAATCTACTCATGCATTAAATATGTATAATGTTCAATTTTCTTCTTTGGAATAAGGTTTTATTATGTTTGGGGCAACATTTAGTATATAAATAAAATCAATCATCATCAGGTTTTATTCTTTTAAAACAACTCTCCCCAAAAATTATCCCACTTAGTTTTTAATCCCTCAAATGTGTCTCATCATCTTCCTCCTCATCTTCCTTCCTTCTCCTGATTATCTTACTAAAATCTAATTTAATATCCTCCTTCTCCAAAACTACTTATTATTCTTAATGCTCTTCTGAATCTTCATAATCTCTTGAATAATCTATTATTAACTTTCCATCAACAATCTAATCATTTTGATCTAATAGTCGCACAAAAAGATGATGATTTTAACAATTTAAAGTTTTCACAATCAAGATCTAAAAAATTAATTTGATTTCTTACTAAATGTTAACTTAGATTATTTTTAAGTTTAATAAACTTCAATATGTCTTTTATTTATCCTTCTAAAATTCCATCCATTCTTTTACTCACAGCCAATAACACTAAGGAATTACAATAAGGCTTCAAAATTTCAGATATTGTTGTAGTACTAATATACTTAAAATGTTTTAAGCCTGACATTAATAAAAATTTGTCTTTAATCTATTACTTTGATTATTAGATTAAAATATTAAGAATGTAATTTGAAAGTATAACAAGATCTTATGTTATTGACTTTTATTACTAGCATATCCACTATACTAATTCTTATAATACAAGAGCAGCAGAAAAATTCAAAGGCTATAATAAACATCTCCTTAACCATTCTATGCATTATTTTTATACTGTAGGATTTGAACAAATAATTTCAACAATATCAATTATTATATTATTCAAATTATTCACTTAACAGAATAATAGACCTTCCATACATTACCAAAATATATCATGATTATTAATTAAGAAATCTTATAAATATTATTAATTTTAATTTGCTATCATTATTGTTATTTGTAATGTTGTAAAACAAACTTATGATGATAATTATTGTTAAACTTTTAATAAAGTATTTTAATACAATATTTTGAGTAAATTAGCTTAAGTAATGATATCCAAAAATGCATCATTCAATTATTTTATTGCTAAAAATGGTTTGAATTATAAAAAAAATTCATTAATAAATTTACATTTTACTTCAAAGTCATCCATAATTTTCTCTAAAAACTTTTCAAATTAATCTTTATGATGTATTAGTAAACTTTCCAATATTTTTGAATTATTTTCATGTATATAAAAATTGAACTCATTATATAAAGGGTCTTCAATATAAAGATAATAAGCCATAACACTTTCTTTCAAATATGATAATCTATAATTAAAATGAATCTTCTCTATAGTTTCCTCTTCAAACTCAGTTATTTTATGAAATCTTAATTGATTTTTTAAAAAATTTCTATATGAAACTCTTTAAGGTCCTTTATTCTCAGAATGATCTATAAACAAATAAAGAATAATTATTACATTCCATAATGCCAAACAATGTCATATAATATTTTTCACTTAATAAACTTTTCATCACACTTTCATTTTTTATATAAACTACAATACTCTACCAAAAATACTTAGACTTCTAATCACATAATGTAATTATTCAAGAACATGATAATTTGATTGTATTTCAGCATCTTCAAAAATTCTTTTGATTGCTTCCATGAATTAATTTCTAGGATCATTAGTTATTTTCTAAATAATTAATTCTGGGCTATCACTTATCTATGATAAAATTGCTTCTAAATTTTATTGGGAAGGTAAAATTGGATATGTTGATTCAATATCATCATAACGAAAATGCCTTTTTTATAATTAATTCCAAATTTCTAATGCATACCTTGAATCAATAAAACTAATTGCTATATCTAAATTGATTTCACTTTCCTACCATTAAATAATATTGTCTCCCTAGAACTCATATATAGTCTCAGGATTCACCTTTAGATTCAGGCACTATTCTTCTTTATTTGTAATCAAATGACCAAATTACACTAGATTGCAACATTACTTTTTTTATGTTTCTAAGATGCACCTTATGAAAGTGGCACCATCTGTATGCACAATTTACACATACCCTATACAAAACTCCTCCCATTAACCTTGAAGCACATAGATTTTAGCTCTCTACTAGTTATTCATTTATTATTAATGCATTTTAATATTAAATTCACTCATAATTAAATAATTAAATACTTTTCTAAATATATAATATTTCTTTCTCTAATTTTATTTTAATGTTTCCTCTTAATCTAAATATCACTTAGAATTCATATATTTTTTATTTATTTTTTCTCTTATAAATTTTATATTATAAATGATAATTCTATTATAATTAATATAAATCTGACATGAATTTTTAATAAGAAGCTTTACATACTGTTAATACTATCTTTATATATATAGAATAAAGTTAGAATGAAAGAATAAAAATCCTTTTGAATGGATATTAAGAATAAATTTTAAAGAAAATGTTTGAATTAGATGAATAAGAAGATGATATTAAAATTAAAGAAATTTATTTGCAGAAATTGAAAAAATTACTTTACTTTGCTCAAAATTCAGCTAATCTTAGTTAGGTATGGAAATTATTTTCTTCTCAAATTTATTAATAATAAGATCAATTTATAGAATTATTGAAGCAATTTCCAAATTTGATTCAATTATATTTAAATTAAAAATTTATTACTGTGAGTACATTACTAGGTGAAAGTTGTACAGAATTATTCTCTCATTAACTTATTACTTTTTAAATTCAATTATAACTTGATTATACAAAATATAAAGATAACTTTGAAAAGGAAGATTGTGTTGGATGTATTACATATGTGTCTCCTGAAATTGAAGATTCAAAACTCTTTAAAATAGTAATGAAATTAAAAGGGTTTACTGATAAAATTAAATAATTAAATGAATTAATAAAAAATGTAAATTTAGATTCAGATCTATTAAAATTCACTTTTCAGAATAACAATTAAACAGTTACATTTTGGAGTTATGATGATTAAATTAGTTATTAAGTTACAACAAAGTAATCAAAAATTTATTATTAATTAGATTAACTTTAGAAGATTAACCTATATTTGAATAAAGAATATATCTGCAAAAAAATATGATAATATAATTAACTAAGCATTTTCATCTAATTATCAATGGTTTTGGAAATGGTAATAAATAGAAGTAAGATTATAATTAACATTTCACTCCTTTAATGATTAAGAAAGAAGAATGTTAGATCAAGCCTCTTGTTAAAACTGATAATTAATAATGGATTTCCATAAATAATGGATTTGAAGATGTGATATTTTAAACAAATGAATTTCCATTAAAATTATCAGAATATTAAACATTACCTAAAGGATTAGAAGTAATATTATAAAATGATGGCTTTGGCTATTATATCACAGTTATAGGAGACTGCTCAACATATTATCCAAGAATTAAAAGCAAGAGAAGTAAAGATCAATTATTATAATTGATTACTTGTTAAGAAAATTTTAATTTGGGAATCATTTATTAAGAGAATATAAGATTATTATTAAATTCTAATTTAGTTCCAGTTTGGAATGGAACATAAATTTTTGATTTATGAATTAATTATTTTATCAATTATTATTTAATAATAAATAGATCAAATTTATAGGATCCAGTATTTTAGACTTAAATATACCAAATAAATCTTTAATTTGATTATCTTCAACATATTATGATAATTGTATATTTTTTAATATATATTTTGCCAATTAATCCATATTTTCAGAATTTTACAAAATCACAATTAGTATTGATCTAAAATCTTATAATGAAATTTCTTGTAGATTGTGAGGATTAAAGAACTTATATATTCTAATTTTGTACTTTAATAAAAAAGTTAATTAAGGTTTGCTCTTTAAAATGCTGGCTAATAATAATCTATTTGAATAATCTAAATTAATTGTAATACACCTTTTCTTATTCATTATGAGGATTTATATCAAAAGCTAATAAAATTCTATCTTAAATTATTTTTGATAATTCAGTAAAACTCAAATAAGATTCCCTTAAAATAAATTGATATATAAAAGGATCTATTTTTTAATTATTTTTATTATACTTTTTCCTTATTCTTTAATATCATAAATATCTTTATATTATTATGTATTTTTAACTAAAACCTTGAACTCTTTGATAGTATTCATTTCTTTGTATATTTCTTTCTTTGATTATCTAATCACTCTTGGATTTATAGTCAATTATTTTTGATGTTCAATAATATTGCTGATTATACTATTATTCATAGTAATTTCATCACATAATTGACTTTCATCAGCTCTTCTAGTGTTTTAAGAATCCTATTCATAAGACTTTAATGTTTTCCTATACATAGCTTAAATATTCATAGCTCCTTAAGTAACTGTGGCTTATTTCATAATTTCTAAATCACCTTCTGTAAATATATTATCTAATTTATTAAAATGCAACAATTCTTATTTCGTAGAATCATTTAGTTCATACCTCTTTCTAGGTGTTTTTGTCAAATTTTAAAGATGAAAGGGTAACAATTTTTATAACTTCTTATCTGATTTCATCAAATCCATCATATAACTCTTGTACTTATAATTTTTATAGCCTTTAACTTCAAGATATTTTGGAGTGTTTGTTATTTTCTATATTTTAGGAAGACTAAAATGTGAAGATGAAGTATTTCGAGAAATTTTGTTTTAAGACTCGTTCATAAAATAGCTATATTAATTATATATTCTAAATAAAAGAAATAAAATTCATATTTTTACATCTATAATCTAAATAATGTTGTATAATCTTAAATATCTTAATTATTTAAATAGTTTACTGATAATAAAATTTTCATTTACATAAATAAAATATTTTATATCATTTTTGATGAAACACAAACAGTCTTTTACCTTAAAATATAAGAAGTAAAAAATTTGTATTTAATTAAAAATTATAGAAATAGTTTTTAGAATAAATGTTTTGATACTAAATAATCTTTCCATTTATTTATTTAAAACAATTGAAAATTAATTTATATTATATTTGTATATATAAAATTTATTTATACTTTTAAATATCTTAATATACTGATTCTAGATAATAGTCTTTATATATAAGTAGATAAACTATCAAAATATTTTCTTAAAAATTAAATTAAAGTAAAGAATTTTAACAACAGCAAAATTAATTCAAATATATAAATATTAAGGATTTTAATAAATTGTAAGATTAAAAGAGAGGAATTTATGAGATTATTGATATTGTTATAGATTACATTTATAAATCTTAAAATATAATAATTTTAAACTACTTTAAATCCACTCTATCATTATATTTATTTCATATAAATTTTGATTAATTTTTTTATATATAATTGATTAATATATTAATCAAGTTGTTATAAACGTATAAGATCAATCATATTAATTCAAATTTTTATCATTATTATGTACATCTAATCTTGATTGATCTTAGAGTAATTTTTCAACTTATTTGAATCTGCTTAAATGTGCATTTTCAGTATTAGTTAAAAAATTTAAAAATAATTGAAAAAAAAATTATGAAGAAATCTTAAAATAAATGAAAAATCCTAAGTTTCTATTTTAGAGATCTTAACATTATTAGTAAATAAATAGTGTTATTGTTTAGTTTATTAATTATTTTTAATCCTTCAATAGATGGAGCATTCACAATTGTTTTTGGAGGATTTAGCTTTTTTTTTCACAATAGGATAACTTTCACTATTTTCTGATAATAATCTTTCATTCTATTTAATAATCTTTCTAAGATTTGTAAAAATCTCATTTTGGTTGTTTTATATTTATTTATCAGTTTTGAGTCTAATGGAATTAAGATATATTATTACGATTGGAAATAAAAATTAGATTTTTTGTGGGTTTTATAATGATGATTTTGAGAAGGATATCGATGATAGTTCATCTTAATTTATATATATATATATATTATTTATTACAATGATTTAAGCAATGAATAAAATAAATATATATATTTATATACATCATTCACTAGGTATATTAAAGGATATAAATTGAGATTTCTTGGCTTTTTTATTTTTTTATTTTTATTACTAATCATAACATTATTTAATTTAAGAATCTTATCCAAATGTATTTTCTTAAATTTGGATTTGATTATATTTTGGTGTTGAAGATAATAAAACATCAGCATCACCAAACAATTATTTGATTGTTTATTCATTTGATAATCCCTTCAAAAGTAACTAATAAAATATAAAATTTAAGTTTAATTACTTGATTAATTAGAATTTGTAAGGTAGTTTCAAATTATGACATTTATTTAGAATAAATTAAGATATTCATGATTTCTCTTGGATTTGTAGTATATCCAATATTTTTAAGTAACATATATGTGGAATCAAATAAATTTTATTAATTAGAATCTTCTAATGTCATTTCTGTCATTAACATATATTCATCTTATGTTTGTATAGCAGCAATTTCTCCAAAATAAATAATATAGTAATATAATTCACCATCTATTTGAATTTTTTAGATTTCAAAGATTAAATGATCTAAATTTTTCTCTTTTAAATTTTAACAAAAAACTTCACAAAATATTTAAAGATCAATTTATATGGGTAAAACAATAATTAAATTCTTACTCCATACTAAAAAATAATCTAAAATATCTGGAATTGAAGGAAATATATTATTTATTGTTAATTTTTCATCAATAATCTAATAATCAGGTTAGATAAAAAAGACATCATTTTAAATAATAGGTAATTTAGGTAAATTTGCCAAAAGAAATTCACATCTTATATTAAAATTACAAATTGTTGTATTATGATTAGCATTTTTAATGTATTACATTGAAAAGTTATTTCCCAAAACAAATGTATTAGTTTCAGAAGAGAACTATATTGCATTAATACCACTTCTAGATAGACCATCAACTATAAAAGAAGGTTTGACTTCTCTCATTCTTCTACCTATATATTATAATACTTTTTCTGGTATTAAATAACTTGATTCATCTTATTCATACTTAACATCATTATCAATATATGATATAAACACTGATAAGGGATTCTTTTCTACTAATTTTGATTTTCTCATAGAAAAATCAACAAAAAAATTCTTTTAAGTCATTCTAACCAGCATGTAATTTTATGTTTCAAAATTACCATAAAGCTCTAAAGTTGTTTTTTCATCTCTTTTCATTGTTATTTATTTTTCTTCACCCATTTATTCTTCATCTGAATCTAATGCACAACATATGAAATTCCAAAATTTTTTCATATATTAATTATGTCACAATTGAAAAAATTCCAATAAACAGACTTTCAACTCATTTATGCAATTAATAATAAGACTTCATTACAAAAGAAAGGAGCTGAACAATTTATATGCAAATTAGTAATTCCTTAAAAGAAAACAACAAAAGAATTAGTAGATGAAATGGATTAAATGAAAATTCGATTGTCAAAAGCAGGTCTTTATATTCCTGAAGGATATTGGGAAGAAAAATAGGCTTTGTGTTTTATTTATAAGAAATTTAAATTTTCAATGGCAGATTTAATCAAATAACATAAGAGATAAGGATTATACATTCCAATGAATAAAATGTAAAATTATGTAAATGAATTCACAAATTGGGTTGATAAAATTCATAAATCTAAGAAAAGTGAGAATCAGAGATATTTTCATGGTAGAATTAAACCATCAAATTTATTTGAAGATGAAGAGAGTGAATGTGTAATAACAGACTTTTTTATTTTTTCTAATGAAAATGTAGAATTATATTTACCACCTGAATCTTTGGCTGCATTAAAAAAGAATTAAAGTTAAAGATTTGTTTCTGGCAGTTCAGTAGTAGATTTATTGGGAGGAGATCCAATCAAAGTTGATATTTGGTAATTGGGTTTAAGTTTTCTTTAGATGGCTTCATTAAAAGATATTGAAGAATTAATTATATTTAGAGATTCTAATACTTAAGATTCTGCAAAAGCAATTGAAATTAAAGAAACAATCAAAAAGTTATATGGATAACATTTCTATAATTTGATAGAAAGGATGTTGGAAAGAAATCCTTCTACAAGATCTCCAATTCATGAATTAGAAGACACAATCTAAGATTTCTTTAGTGATAATGTAATCCAACATGATGAAAATTTACTTTAACCTAATCCAGAATTATTATTAGATGAATTAAAATAAAGAGTAACTTAATAGAAATAATAAACAGTTGTTTAATATTTATCAAAATATTAATTGTAACCAGTTAGTAGAAAAATAAAAGCTACAAATTTTTGGGATGCCTTAGAAGATATGAAGATATCTGTTAGTTTTAAGGAAAAAGCAGTTTTATTATAAATGTATGATTTATAAAAGACTGATGAAATTGACTTAACATAATGGATTCAAAGATAGAAAGAAGTAGTAAAATTAGGAGAATTGACTTAGACATAAGATTAGGAATTATTTGATATGTTAAAAGATATTAATACATATTTAGAAGAAAGTAATATAAATTTGATTGAAATTCTAAAAGCAAGTGATTAAGAATAATTGGGATAATTACCTTTTGATAAATTTGATATTATTATTAGATAAGAGGGAATCAATTTAAATCCTGAGGATATACCTCTTTTAAAATTAAAGTATGATCCAAATAAAAAGAATGTAATTTATTATGAAAGCTTTTGTGATGATATTAAATAAACAAATTAATAATAATTAGGAATAGATGAATTAAAAAAAAAGATGTATAAAGCTATAAGGGATATATATAATGTATTTATTTCATTTTTCAGACATTATGATAGCAAATCAAAGGGTTATTTTGGATATGATGATATTTACAAATTTTTAAATGAAATTAAATATTAACCTACTCCTGAAATTCTTAAATAATTATTATTTAATCTAGATCCAGAAAATAAAAAAATGATTTCATTTGAAAATGTAAGAATGTTCTTTGAAATTAATGTGAATGAAGATTTGAAAGATATTATGACTTAACTTGTTAATGGTTTACTTAGTGTATAAATGACATTACCATAATTAATTAGATCTAGTACCAAAAGTAGTACTATTATATCTTAAAGTTAATTTTATAATACATTAAAATAAACAAATGATCATCTTCGTTAAACAGATTTTTAATTTTTGTTAAACTTTTTTGGAGTTAAAGAAGAAATTGAATATCCTCGTTTTATATAAGCTATTGTATAAAAGGCTAGAGAATTGTAGGTTTAAAATTGGAAATAATTATAAGAAGCTGATGGAGGTGATAGTATTTAAGAAAGAAAAAGCAATTTTGATGATCCAGAATTATCATTATAGAAATCCATAAATTTTAATCCTAAATCATTTGATTCTTAAAAAAAATTATTACAATTTATTTCAAAAGAATTATAAGAGAGAGATGAAACTGCTAGATAATATTTTAAATGTACATATTAAAGAATGTCTATTTAATAATTTAAAGATAAATTACGTTAATTATAAGTTCATAAAGCAGATTTTGAGGTTGAATAGGAGGAATTAATTAATAATCTTTTGGTACCTAATGATAGAACATATGTTGATATTGATTTATTAATAGAAGCTATTCTATACTATAAAGATAAAAGAAATGATTAAATTAGATATAGTTAACATAATGCAGTAATATTTTTTGAATAACTTAATAAAATGATGAAAAAAAAGAAAATTACATATTCTGATATTGAAGATTTAGATTCTTTAGGTGATGGATCATTAAAGAAAAAACATTTACAAGATTATTTAATTAAATAATTTTTGATTGATTAAGAAGATGAAAACTTTAAAGATTTTTTAATTTGTATTTAATAAGATCAATAAAACATATCATTAATTAAATTGAGATAAGGTTTGAAATTAGATGAGGCTGCTAATAAATTACTTTAAGATCTTAATACTGAATTAGCATATGAATAAAGCAAACCAGAATAATTATTTAGGAAATATGATGCTAATAGAAATACAAAGTTAGAAATGAGGGAATTTTAAGAATTTCTATAATAATTAATAGGTAATGTAGATTAGAAGATAGTAGAAACATTATTTCATAAATTTGATACTAATAATGATAATACAATTAATTTGAATGAATTTAAATAGAAAATTATTAATAAAAATGATGAAAATCCAAAATAAAATTAATAATAATATTAATCAAAATAATAATAATAATATTAAGAACCATAATAATAATTTAGAAGAACTGGTGCAGTTGATTCAAAAGTATTAACACCATAGATTATGAAATCTGTATTCAGATTGAAAGATGCTTTGAATGAAAATAATTAAACTTTATAAATATTTGATAAAAGAGGTAGAGGAGAAATATTGATTAATGCATTTTAAGATATTATCAATCAATTTGGATTTGATTATGTAGAATTTAGAGGTTTAGCATCATATTTATAATCACCAGATGATTAAAAGTATTTATAATATGATAAATTATAAATACTTTTAGATGATTGTTTAGAGGCTGAATAATTATTATTGAGTTTAAATTAAACTATTTAAGCAGGTAAAAATGCTACAGCATAATTATTTTATAATTATGATTAAAATGGAAATGATGTTTTAGATAGATAAGAATTTAATAAATTAATCCATGATATTGATCCTTCTATTAAAAATAAATAAATAGATAATTTATTCTTATTACTTGATGCAAATGGTGATGGTTCTATAAGTATAAGTGAATTCAAATCAAAAGTTTGTGCTAAAGAAAAACCTAAAGTATTATCTCAAGATAACAAACCATAATAAGGAGGAATGTTTAATGAAGTTATCAAATTTATTAAGCAATCAACAACCTTATTATCAGATTTTGAGGGTATGGATGAAAATTACACTAATAAATTAGATGTTGAAAGCATACTTTCAGTATTTAAAAAGAATAATGGTCCATCTCTATAATAACTTGAAATGAAGGGAATTGCTGATTAATTAGGTTCATTATAAGGTAATTAAATTAATTATAAGATGCTTTGTTAAAAAGCTAAGTAACATCATATAGATACACCTTAGAATAAAATTGATGCTATTTTAACTAAATTAAGAGAGCAATTATAATAAAAATATATCAGTGTAATTGATATTGCTTAAGAATTTGATCTTAATAAGAAAGGCAAAGTGAAACTTAAAGGTTTAAAATTAGGAATTGCTGATAAATCAATCTAAATTTTAGATAATGATTGGGATTTATTATTGACAATACTTGAGTAAGATGCATAAGATTATATTGATTATTATGCACTTAATGATCTGATTAATTTAGGATTGACTAAATATAAAGAAAGTAAAAAAGTTATTATAATCAATACCAATTAAGAGATTGATAAGATTGTTGTTTCTTTTTCTTAATATATGGAAAAAGAATTATGTACTTTACTTCATATGTTTAGACAAACTGATAGAGATAAAGATTATTATATTTCTAATGAGGAATTTACTGATCTTTTATAAAGAACTATTGGATATTCAAGTACATAGGATGTTTAAAGGTAATTGTTTGAAATATTTGATATGGATAAGGATGGAAAAATAAATTTTACTGAATTTGAATATTAAGTATATAAAAGGAATGAATTAACAAAGCAATAAATAGAAGATATGAAATTAGTAATGTTAAATGGTCGTAATCCTTAATTTGAATAGTAGATTTCAGAATTATTTTATATAATATCTTAAGGTAGTCAATCCATAGATTTCAGATAATTTATTACGTATATGAACTATTATAAGAAATACAAGATAATAGAATTAGATTAGTTTTTTAGGTATTTTGATAAGGAATATACAGAAAAATTAGATTAATTTAGATTTATATTATCATTTAAACAATAATAGAGTAGAAGTACTCCATAGTATGAATAACCTCCTTAATAATAACCTTATCCACCTGGACATTATTAATAATAATCTAATTAATATTAATAGCCAACTCCATATTAATAACCTAATTAATAACCCAATCAATATTAACCTAATTAATATTAATAATAGCAAAATTAATATTAGTAACCTAACCAATATTAATAGCAAAATTAATTTTAATAATCTAATCAATATCAATAATCTTATGGCAATTAAGGATATTAGTAATAACCATATAATAATCAATAATAATCAATGTAATTTAAGAATTAAAATGAAATTGCTAATCCAATGTTAGGTTCTTTTAATCCTTCCAATATATCTTAATCTATTGTCTATCCTCCTTAAAACACTAATTATAATTCATAAAATAATTAAGGTGAAATGGATGTAAAATAACAATGGGTGTAAAATAACAATAAAATAGATTAAAGATGGTCATAAGGATAGGATCAGTAAATGTTACCTCCTAAATATGGTCCTGATAAATGGAAAGATAATAATGATACATAACGTGATAATTAATAATCAATAATTCCTCAAGAATATGATCTAAGTTTTTATGATTAAGAGTTACATAGAAAATGTATCTAGAAAAACATAGATTTATTTGATTTATTATGTTAGTATGATGAAACAGCTTTACCAGAATTGAAAATATCCAGACCAGAGTAATTGGAATAAGCATTTTTATTTTTAGAAATAATGGCTCCAACTCCACATATCCAATAATTCTACTATTATTATTCATAGGGATAAAATTAAATGAGTATAGTTTTACCTTATTTAAAAATGAATAATCCTGGAAAACTATTAGCTAAAGCACTCAATTTTACAATGGTTAAACACAAATAATATACAAAATAATAATTATGGAATTTAATTGGAGAATAATAACCAACTTGGTAAATGCCTTAATTAGATAAAATAAATAGAAATCTAAAGATTGGATTAAATGAAAGAGAATTAAGAGAAGCATTTTAATATTGGGATACTTAATAATCAGGTATAATAACATATAAAATGTATGATGAAATATTAAATTTGAATTAAATAATTGTACCTACTAAAAATAATAATGGATAATAATAATAATCATAATTGATGGAATAAGGATTAAAATAAACATTAGATGAATTTTTATTACATTTATCTGAAGTAGTTCTTTCTAAAAATTGTTTTAATTTATTTGAATAATATGATAAGAAAGGATATAATTAAATACCATATAATGATTTTTTGTAAGTAAGTAAAAAATTATTGGGAACTATTTCAGGGGAAGAAATGAAAGCTATAAAGTAATTATTGTAATTAAATGGATTTATCAATTTAAGTGATTTGGCTTAATCTTTAAAAGTTGATAGAAATAAGGTTGGATAATTTAATTAGGATGATGAGAAATAATAATTTGGATTAGCTAATAAAGATTAAAGAAAAAATACAATTAATAGTTAAAATAAAGAAAAGTTTACAAAAATGTTACCAATAATAAATGAATTTTTGAAAAAAAGAAATAAAACATATGATGATTTTGCACTTTACTTTTTCCCTCCTAATTAAGTTAGTACTATTGACAAAGGTATATTTGTTAAAAAAGCACTTGAAGCATAATTTGGATTAACAGCTGTTTAATGTGAAGATTTATATGATTATTTAGATGCTAATTCAAGTGGACATATTTCAATAAATGAATTTAGATTAGTATTTTAATCAAAATAAGGAGATCTATAAAATAAAAATAAGGCTGAATAAATCATTATGAGTTAAGATATTGAATAAGAAATTCAAGAATTATTTAATCAAATAGATGAAAATAAAAATTAATCTCTAGATTAAAGAGAATTACTTAAGGCATTATAATCAGTAGGACTTAATCCTGGAACTGAAGAATTAACATAATATTTTGCATAATTTGATAGAGATAAAAGTGGTACTATATCTTATCAAGAATTTTCACACATTGTAAAAGATATATTAAAAAAAGAATTATTATAAGCAGATGATTTATTAGAAGATTTAAGAAGAGAATTTAGATAAGTTTGTAATCCAACTACAAGAATGTTATCAAAAGAATAAGTTAGTTAAGTATTTTAAAATATGGGTGTTCAAATTAAAAATGAAGAACTTGAAGACTTATTTATTGAAATAGATGAAGATAAATCAGGTTCAATAGATATTGATGAATTTATTTACTTTATTTAAAAAAATTAATCAGGAATGTCAGCAAAAGCATCTGCAGCTGTTATGAATATTAAAGGTAGTCGAAGAATATCATTACATGATTTAAAGGAAATATTTTTGACATTACCATAAAATTTTATAATGAGTTTTATACGAAGTTAAAATAAAAAGTTATAAAATTTACCTTCATAATAATTAAAACCTGTTTTAGATAATTGTGGATTTTTCTATTAAGGTTTAAATTATGTAGATGCTGCCAATTTCAATATTAAATAGAGTATTCTTGATAAAGTTAATATCAAAAATAATTTTATTGCAGAAATTAGATTGATTGAGGCAACAGGTATACCAATTCCTGATGAAAAAGATGTTCCCAGAAATTCATTTTTAAAAAGAGAAATTGGTATCATTCTTATGGATAAAGCTTTAAATAAATTTGATGGCAATGCAATCTATATACCAGCTTAATGGAATTCAGAATATGAAGATAGATGGATTTTTGATTCTGCTGCAATGGAATAAGCAATGTATTTAAGATGGGGAAATTTTGATGAGAAAATGGACAATATGACTGAATTAGTTTTTGAATTTATCACATATTCAACTAATAAAGGTCGATTAATATAAATATCTTGTGCATATGGATCTATTCCTGTTTATTAATTAAAACCAGGTAAATAACTATTAGAATTAAAAGGAGGTGCTCCTCTTAAAGATATAACTATTGATAAAAAGGATATAAGAACAAATAGAAATGGTTGGAGATCTGTTATTAAAGCATTATCTTCAAATATTAAATCATAATTAACAATAGAAGTAGTAAAATTGACTCCTTAAACTATTTTCAAATTATCAGCTTTACCAAATAAATGTTTATTAAATAAATGGGCTTTAGGTATGTAATCAGCTTTTAGAGAATACTTTGCTTACAGGACATAAATGAAAGGAGAAATTGAATTGAATTTGGCAAGTGATATAAGAATCAAAGCTTGGTTAAATTGTTTTGATTGTCCAGATACAATAAGGGCAGTAGCATAATTTTGGAATGAATTTATAGAGTAAGAATAATAATTATATATTTTATAGACCTAAAGTGAATGATCATTAATTTTTATTAAAAGCTGTTTCAAAAATGGCAGATTCTTTATATTTAATGTTTAAGAATACAGAATTCAAATTTTCAGCTGGAGATCCAACAGGCAGAATTGATCATGATATGGTTTTACTTAAAAAGAGATAATAATTGATTGCTGATGCTATTTTAGATATGAAAACTAATTTAGGTATTGGTAATCAATAATAGTATAATTTATTACTAATTATTAAATTAGAAAAAAGTAATAGACAGTAATTAGTTTGGAACCATTAAATATTGAGGAAATGATGGATTTAGAAAATGATTAAGATTTATAAGCAATAGAAAGATTTTTGAATAAGAAAAAACCAAAAAAATAACAATAATAGTAATGACATTTTATGAACATCGAAGCCAATATATTTTTCATTATCAATTTTTAACTTTCCATTTTTATCTATCAAGTGGGCAATAATCTTATTCTTCAGTCCATCTAACTATACAATGTAAATGAAAATGATGATTGCATGCACCTGTAACAGGAGGACATTCATCTCCTGGTAATTTACATCTTGGACAAGGTTATTCAAATGCTAACTAACATATTGTGCATCTATCTGTATCTAGACTCCATATCCATGAAGCAACAGCATTCCATTCTTTTATTTTGACTTTCATAATTTGAATTTTACTATAATAATTGAATTTATTTTATTCTTTAAATCAATAAATTAAAATAATCAATATTATTATTAAATCACAGATAATTGAATTAATGAATATTATTGCTTGCTTTTGAACAATTACTTGAGTGTTTTTATGTTTATATCAAAGAGAGAATACAGATATAAAAAGTCTTCTAATGTAATTAATATCTCAAACTTAATAGTATATTATTAACAATCATTTAAACCCCTAGATTCAATATAATAAAAATATTATTTATTCTATTCAACCATTTGGCAATTTAAAGAATAAAAAAACATAGTATTTTATTAAATGATTTAATCATCATAATTTGATTAGAATATTCATTAGAGATTAAAGTCATTGTAATTAAGATTCTTAAGTATATGAAAAATTATTATTTATAAAATACTTATAGTATAAGTATGAGAAACACAAAAAATAAAATAAGATAATGATTTATTATTATTATTATTATTATTTTAATTATAAACTGATTAATTTTCAAGGTTCTGTTATTGCTTCTGAATCGTAAGTAAAATAATCGTAATTGTCAAATTATTCTTTTCTATTTACTGGACTATCTATTGGAGGTTCATCCAAAAACATCTTACGATTATAATGTGATTACTTTATTAAAATATCTTAGATCTAATTCATCATTTAATTCTGGGATAATGGGAGGTACTAATTAACGATTTTAGGCTTAATTCCAATCTATATCTGAAAAGAATGGATGTTTTTTTATTTATTATATATTAATTCTTTATTTAGGCTGATAATATGGAATATATTTACATTATTATTTAATAATCCTGTGAGTAGACTCGAACAGGCTTCAGAAAACCAAGGTTTCATTTCTGTTTGTTTTTCAGTTCTATTTCTGAACATGAGAGTTCGATCTTGACTATAAAAAGGTGCAGCTCCGGTTAACATTTCATACATCAAAGCTCCTAAACTCCACCAATCACAGGATTCATCATGGCCAAGTTTATCATCTGAATATATTTCAGGAGCAAGATATTCTGGAGTTCCTACTATAGAAAAGGATGGTTTATCTCGATTGCTGATAATTTTAGATAATCCAAAATCAATTAATTTGATATGGCCATCATAACATAAGAGGATGTTTTCTGGTTTAAGATCTCTATATAAGATTTTAGAATCATGTAAATATTCTAAAGCTATAATAATTTCAACAGCATAAAATTAAACTTAATTCTCTTTGAATTTATAGGCTCTTCTTAAATGAAAGAATAATTCCCCACCTGCACAAAAATCAATAACATAATAAAGCTTTTATGGGGTTTAAAATGCATAATGAAGTTTACTTATAAAAGGATGATTAATCTTTTCCAATATAATTCTTTCTGTTTTAGCATATTCCACTTATTTTTTAACTTGCAGATCATATTTATTCACAATTTTCATAGCATATACTTTTCCATTGGATCTCTTTCGAACCAATAACACCTTCCCAAAATTTCCCCTACCAATTGTCTTGATCAATTTGAAGTCTGTGACATTAAGTTTGTGTGGATCATTGGTAAGAACAATACTTTGTTTATAGAAAGTGATAGTTTCTGTTTAATGTTCATTAAGTGGTTTAGAATTAGTATTAGTTTGTTAAGAAACAACATCTTAATGGCTTTCTTCATTCTTCTTAAAACAATTGAGACATTATCCCATATGTATTATATAAAATACTTTTAATATGAACGAATTAAAGTCTCCAAAACTATTGAATGGTTTAGGATAAAAGAAATAGCAAAATGTACAAGATCAAAATGACACAAGTCTACTTTTGCAATTGTTCTAAAAGATTCAACCAGTTGAAATTATTAGAATGAATGTATTTAGAATCCCTTTATGTTAGGATTCCAAAAAAAAGAGTTAATCTGTTCTATACATCTATGAAGATGAATCTGAATCTAAATTCTAAGAGACCATCAAATATGGAGTCTTGGAATATGAATAACATCAATACCAATAAGCTTTATTCTAATTTAAATAAGCAGAATAAATCCTAACTGCAATAGCAAGTCCTCCTATTCATTATTAACTAATCAATAAAATCAACATCGGTACTCATGCTTTATATTAAGGGTGTCTCATTCTATGCCATAGGATGGTTGGAAAATGCCTTCACTTGTTTCGAAGATACTATTTTGATATTGAAGAAGTATATAAATCAAACAACACAAGAGAGAATCCTCTTAGATACAATTAGACTCTAATGTTTTCTATAATGCTGCATAATTTTATCTGAAATCGGTTAGCATCATGAAGCATTGGCTATTTCTAAAATTGCAATCAAAAAGGCATTAAAATTATTGTTTGATCTCCATTCCCACTCAGAAGAATCCTTGCAGAAGAAACTCTTAGAAGAGATACTAAGAAAGTCAATAGCTTTGCCACAATTAAAACCTAAACAATAAGGAATAATTATCACTTTTCCTTCCTCTAAAACATAATAATTGACTCAAGAAAATCTTCTACATATCTTTAAAGATTGTTCAACTTAATATATTGAAAAAGCCAATATCCTTAGTTACATTTAAATGACTCCTTTAAACTTTGATTCCCTTCTCTTTCAAGTGAACTTAACTAATCAATAATTCCTCCATATATTTTCCTTGTTTGTGATCTCCCTCTATTGTACATCAACAGAATCAAGATTCATTGAACAAATTTTAGATCCATTACAATTTACAGAAGCTGAAAATTATTTATCGAGAGCATTAGAATTAGTTTATTTGTATTTTCCTAAAGATATGCCCTTGGTCAATCAATTATTAAATGTTCACAATAGATTTCATGATATATCAAAATAAATAATTTAAGAAGATGTTCATTAAAAGCATGAATAAAATTATGAGATAGTTTTACTTAAACCTATATTAGAACCTTAAAAATGTGGATTTGTTATTCCCATTATTCGTAAATGTATTATATACTTATTATATATTAGCCAAATGTTCATATTTAATAAAAGAAAGAGCAATATCCCTTAAAGAATAATAATTCTAAATTACTAAAGCTTAAAATTTAAATATAGATACAAATACTTATGAAGGTTCAAAACCATAAAATAGGAAACTTAGATCAATTTCTACTACAAATAAAAATAAACCTAATTCTCCAAAATGGGGACTCAATTAAGTTGCAGAGATCTATTTAAAAGAAAAGAATGCAAGCAATCATTAAAATATAAATATTACCAATTTTAGATAAACTCATTTCAAAAGACCATAAACAAAAGCAAGCTAAAAGTAATATTGCTTTGAAAAACCAAGGTTTAATATTAATTTCTTAATTATCAACAATTTAAATCATGTCCAATTACCACCAAAAAGAAAGAGAGGTACATCATTTAATTTAGAATCAATTAAACCACCTTAAACAGCTCTAAACAGTGCAAAAGGGAATAAAGAATTACTAAAATCATATTAAATGTAAACCAAAATTAAAAATCTAATTAAATCCTATCAAATATGATTTTAGTTTTAATTGTTCTATTATAACCATATTTCATTCATTTATTTTTATTTATAATAAATATTTAACATAATTATCATATTACAGCCATATATTTCATAAATTTTAAGATTACACATGATAAAATCACTTAAATTGTTTTGTTAAATTTATATAATAACAAGATTATTTATAGATTTAATATAAATAAATAAGGTTCATAGATAAGTATTATGGTTTTATGTTTGATTATGTAAATAATATGTTTAGTAGGTTTGATAAATAACATGAATATGATATATATAGTTATGAATAGTATAAGATTTAAGGATATTATGAAATTTGGATAATAAATAATTTCATTTTTTTAAATTATGATCAAGTTATAACAATATCAATAAAATAATAAACTGAATGGGATTAAGAAATGAATTGCTATCATGAATACTTTAGAATAAATAAAATAATACTGGACCGAAATTGTTTGATTAATAAAAAATGATAAATTAAAAATTAATTGAAAACATTTATTTATTGTAATATTATTATTCTTTTTTTCATTTTTCCCTTTTTAAATTGAGAATCGTAATTAATTTAATAAGGTTGCATTTTAAAATGTTTGAAAATATGAATAGTATAGTTTTTCATGTAAATTAAGACACATGAAAAATACATATAACCAAGTTGTCATTAGTTCAAATATGTAGATAGACAGAACTATTATAATAGGTGTTTCTTAAGTATAACATAAAAAATTAATTAAAAACATAATAAAAATTATTTTTAATAGGTTTTTTTAGTATATTATTCATGTGTTATTTAATTCATATAATGAAGTCAACAAGTTTTATATATTAGTAATTAAAGAAAATAATAAGAGTTCGTTTTAGAAGGAACTTGTAAGCTTATTTTTTATTAATAATTAACATTTAAGCAATTTAGTTGAAGGAAAGGTCATTTTTAGACATTTCAAAGAGCTTCATTTAACTGAATATCTTGAAATTTATTTTTCTACATTTTAGAAACAAATTAAAGTACTTTTCAAACTTAAAGATCAAAAAGAGAATTTAATATGTAAATCTCAACTAGAGAGGTAATGAATTGAGAATAAAGGACGATGGGACATGATTACTAGGATAATAACATTCACCTTATTAAAAGATTATTCTAAGAAAATAGTTAGAAATATATAAGCATTTAGTAGTTTGCTTCTTCTATATTGCAATCCTTATATTTTTATGCATATTTGGAAGTATTATTGAGTCAAGATGGAATTAATTGATTATTTTATGCTTATAGAATAATATAATGTAAATAGATAGGAGATATAGATAAATCCAGGGTATTTTGAAGATATTTAAAACATATTTGGTATTGATTGAAGAAATTTAAATATAGGAAGATATTTGTAAATAAATTATAGATTTATGATTTTATAATTAGGAATAATGAAGTTATGAATTAAAAAATGGTTAACTAAAATTATGTTGGTTAAATGTTAGAAGTTTAGAATTATTTAATCAATATGCTTTAACTAATTACTATCAAATAGAATGAGAAAATATATATTAGTTTATTATTTTTTATTAATGCAAAGCTCAAACTTATATTTTGTATATAATTCTGGATCTGAATAATTTTGGAAGAGAAAAGATTATTAGTTAATAAATGACCTCATGTAAGGATTGCTCCAAGATTCGAGAGAGATGATAACACTGTATAAAACAGGGAAAATATTAAAAAAGTATATAGGTAGACAATATAAAACCTTTTAACAACATTTGTTTTATTTTAGAGAGGTATAAATTTTTAAGTTAATAGAAAGAATGGAGAATTGGGAGGATTTGTTGTTTTGAAGAATGTCTATTTTAAACTAAACAAAAAAAATGTTACACAAAATATTCCTTATGACAGTTGTCTTACTCTAATAAGAGATCGCAGTAGAATTGATCTTTATTTTAACCATTCAGTTGAGATCGATTAATTTTTAAGAGAACTATAGAGATGTTGTATTATCGATGGCTTTGAGTAGCATTATTAATTGCTTCAAAATATAGGTACTGGTTCTACAGCTCAAGTAAGACTTTACAAAATAAATTAGGTCTTTTTGGCAGAAAATATTCTAGATCATAAGTAATATGCAGTAAAATAGATTGAGAAAGAGCAAGCTACTGGAAGACATCGTATATTGAGATCGAAAACATTATTAGAAGAAATATTTATGATGAGGAGTTTGGATCATCCTAATATAATGAAATTACATCAAGTTTATGAATCAGAAAGTAGAATTTATATTAATAAATAGAGCATATTTTATTAGTTATTAGCTTATTTGAAGGAGGACAATTGATGGATAAAATCAAAAACTTTAATTTCCTTATCAAAAGAGAGTTGGCTAAATTGTTAATTGAAACTGTACATTATATGCACACCAAAGTATTTTATATCGAAATTAGGGAATTATGCATAGAGATTTAAAACCATTTAATATCCTCTACAAAAATAAAGATCCTTAAGATTGGTAATTTGGAATTGGAGATTTTGGATTCTCTACATCAATAAAATAACAATAACATATTCTATATAAATGTGGTACTCCTGGTTATGTGGCACCTGAAATTATAGAATATAGAGAAAAGTCTAAGATGTATGGATTGTCATGTGATGTGTTTAGTATTGGTGTAATTATTTATGAAATGTAAGAGTAGAAAAATTAAATAGATTTTTTAATGTCCATCCTTTTAAAAGTAAGACAAAAGATGAAACTTTAAGATAAAATGTAAATGCTTAAATTAATTTTGATGATCGTGTTTGCATCCCTTAATCACTTAAATCTTTAATCATTTCTATGGTTAGAAAAAATCCACGACATAGATTTACTTTATAATAATGTTTAGATCATGACTTTTTTAAAGAAAGCTTATCTAAATTCAATGAATTATCATAAGAAATTTAAGAGTAAATTTAAATATATAATTTTATAGACATGAACCAAAAACAATGGAGATTAGAAACTTAAGGTGTTAGACTCTTTAGTTTTTAAAAACCCAAAATAATAGAAGAAGATAATCATTACCTCAAGATTTCTCTGTTACTTAAGAACCATAAATTTAATAAAGTAAGTCTCAAATATATTATAAAAAAGGAAAAAGTATTATAATTAAACACAGATAATCAGTTTCATCTACACATGAGTCAAAATTCAAACTAGAATCTTAACAATAGTTCTAATTGATCTAATAAAATTAAATATAATTTGGATCTTAGCTAAAATTAGCTTAATTAGAAAAGATTTGTGAGATTTTATTGAATGATTCAAATTGCAAACCAAAAGAATTTGGAAATATATATTTAATTAAGAAATAGTGAAGATGATGTAAATATATATATATATATATAACATGAAATTGATTGATCTTCAAAAATTATCAGAAAAAAATATTTTTTTATAAAATATTAAGATTAATGTAGGAATACGAAAGAGTAAAATTTATCTTTACAGTATTGGAAAAGTTTATTGTCATGGTATATCATTTATCTATAGCAGGATTTAAATAGTAAAATAGCATTGGATGACCTAAAATTTACATTCACTAATATTCTGAAAATAGATTTGTTTGCAAAAAGATTATAGTTTTCAATTACAAAAGGGTTAAAATAATATAGTCTCAATTCACAATAATCCTTAATCTAGTAAGAGAATTTAAGAATTTTTAATTTAAATAATTAAGAAAGAAAATAAATCGATATAAATGTAAAATTTATAGAAGAAGGTGCATGATTATATCTAATATTAAATTTAACAATCTCTATTAAAGTTAATTAATAATAACAATTATAACCTTAGTTTATTATCGAAAACACTTTCCCTTAATCCAAAACACTTTTTAAAAATAAAAATTTTCGTTTATTGATTAAACTTCTGAATAATATCTAGTGAATTTAATAAGAAACTCAAATTTTTCTTTGAATTATTATAATATAGTTGATATTCTCAAGTTTGCTAGATTAGCATTTTATTTATTTAATTTTTAATGATGCTATATTAAAGAGTGCCAATAAAATTAGGTACTCATATACTGAAATGATGATAAATAAGGATACATACACTTAATAATAAATATTAAAATTTTATTTATTAATATAATATATTCATAATTCAAAAATTTTGTTAGGAATGCAAGAAAATAATTAATCAGAATAAAGAATATTATGATTAGTTTATTAATTTTTTTTTGTTTAAATTTTTGATTATAATTTGATGGAATCTTCAATGAGATAGAATCTATGAATGAAAGTGATTAACTAAAATTTCCTAAATTTGAATTTAATTATTATATTAAATTGATAAAAGTTTTGATAAATATAAAATTTTAATAATAGTCAAATAGTATTTTTTTGGCTTTAAAATTAAAATAATGAAAGTTGAATTAATATGTATGAAATAATTAATTAAAGGGATATTGTGATTTATTGTAATATAATTTAGATCACATTAATTAAATCCATTTAATTGGATATTTATAATAATAATAATTGTAGATATATTAAAGCTAATTAAATTATAGGATTGTTTAAATACCATAAAAATAATTAGAATAATTTTGCAATTAATCAATTTTAATAAATATTTTTATTGTTAGCCTTATTATTGCTTAGTAATTGATGAGTAATTCTAATATAAGAAAATTAAATTTGAGATAATTTATTAGTTATTATAATTAATGAAAAATGATAATTGAATTAATTTATTGGCTTCTTAATAAAATGTTATTGATGCAAAAGAATTCTTTATTTAATTTTGATCAAATGTTAAGTTTTAGATTATTGATTATAAAATTACAACACTTAAATAAATTGAATCTGATTATAAGATTGTCAATGTTCTTGAGAATTCGTTATTTTTTTGTAATTAAATGAATACAATTAAACTTCTCATTTCATGGGTTATTGTGTATGATATACTTTATAACTTTAAAGGATAAGAATTAATTGAAGTATTTATTTAATAAATTGTTTCTTGAATGAAGTTCATTAAGATTTTGACTGTTATTATCTACAGATCAATGGTAATATTAGAGTTTACTAGCTAACCATCATAAATAATTCATATTGCCTCTCAATTTCTAGGTGAATTAATGATACTAAAATGTGGATTATTAATATACTCAGATGGGTAAGGTAAGAAAAAGTCTTTTGAAAGTTTCCTTGTATATATTATTAGACCATATACATATTTTATACAATAAGATTTATAGGTTGCATACACAATAGTTACTTTTGTGCTTATGCAAATACTGATATTCTACTGGTGTTATCTAATCATATATAGGGAGAAGAAAAAGATAAAATCATTCATAAATGTAATTCAAAAATATGAGTCTCATTCAACCCTGAATTTTATTTTAATTTTGTTATGGAAAACCTTATTTTTGTTTTTAACAGAGTTTCTGGGGTTTGTTCTATTAGAAGGATGCTTTGTAATATTATTTGATAATATATAAGATAATATATTTTGTATTATCTGTTCAACCATAATTATTTTAGAAATCTTTTTCCTAATTATATTCTAAGAATTATTTTGGAATAAAAGTTTACATTATATACCAAAATAATTGAACTAAATAAATTAACAAACAATATTGGTATTGTATGCTAAATTATTAAAAATAATGACTCTTTGTCTTTTTGCAAGTTAAATAACTAATAAATCTTATATAGTATTAGGAATTTCAATACTAAGTAGTTTCTTAGAATTATATATATAATTAATACTGAAAATAAGATTGGACATATTAATTATTAAATTGGATGTATTAATGTAAAGCTTAATTATATGTGTTTCAATATAATAAGTATTTGTGATGGCTAGTACTTCTTCATTAGAATTTTTGTGGATAATTGTTGGGATTTTACTTTACAAATCAATATGTTAATTTTACTTAAATGATAATGTTATCTCAATTTAATCAAATTAAAATTAAGGGGAATAAAAACTCATGTGCGGAAGAAAGAAGATTTATTTATATTAAAATCTTATTTCGAAAAGAGACTCAGAATATAGATTGATTAATAAGATTTTGATATAAAAACATTAAGAGGATTGCTCAAATAAATCTTGTTTTTGTAGGAATGATGAAATGATTATGATTAAATTGGATCATTTGATTATTAAAGAATAAATTCATGAATACAAATAGCTGATATCATAATAGAAAATAAAATCATCAATACTCTACATATAGTATATTTAATTACTTATACTTAATAATAAATATTTTGAAGCATTAAACATTACTTAAAAATTGATAAACTAAATCAATAAAAAATCAAAATTTACTACACAAGTTTAAATAATAAAAGGATAGGTATCATTATTGCATAAATTATTGTTAAAATTGCTTTAATAAAAAATTTTAATTAATATTTAATCATCCCTTTTAAATAGTGCTTAACATTCGACTAAATCATAGGGATTTAAATAAGCAATAAAATCTTATTAATAAAAGAAAGATTCAGAAAAAATTATTTAAAATCAATTCAATAGAATATTGAAATTAAAAATTGATTTTTTAGAAGAATTATCAAATTCTACTTCTTTAAATGCTAAAAAAATAAACGATAAGGCTTTCAAAATTATCAATCAAATGGATGAATTTAAATAATAATTGATTCTCAATTTTTAAAAGATTCCAAGTATAATATTTATTTAAATTTAGCACATAGTAATAAAGGATTATTGTTATTCTTCTAAATTGAAGTCTTAAATGATCTAATAAATTCTCAAAAGATTAATGCAGCAAGTACTTTATCAGAAAATTAAGAAGAAATGATATTTGTAAACAATATTTATTAACAACTTGTTAATCAATTTTCATATGCTAAATTTATTATTGGAGAAGAAGGTAATATTGAGTTAGCATCAAATAGTGTATCATAATAATTAAATATTGGGGTTAATAAATATAGTGCCTTTAATGAAATGGTTCCATAATCATTGGTATCTTTTCATAAATAGTTTATGAAAGAATTTATTTCTACAGGATAGAATAAATACTTTTTAAATATTAATTAATCATTTTTACAAATATCTACAGGCATAATAATTCCTATTGAATTGTGTATGGATATTTAATTTGATTAAAAGATGAACTAATTAATGGCAATAACATTCATAAAAGAAGCACATACAAACAATTCCTTTCATTATATCATAGTAGATGATAGATATAGAATCAAAGAGATCTCACAAGGTTTATATTTTGAAACTTTAGAATATCCAACTTTCGTTAAAATGCAATTATATAATTCATCTATATTCACTCTTATACCAGAATTAAAAAAAGAAGACTTATCTTTAGATAAAACTTTAAGGTCTTATTCCTTGTGCTTTCCATAAAATAAATAAACGTCTAGTAGTTTAAGAAGTTAAAATAGATCACAAGAATATTTTCAAGGTGATATCTCCATAAAGCCAAGAGTTATTAATAAGAAAATCTTATATTACATTTTTGAAATAAGTGATTTTAAATCAGAAAGAAAAGATATGATCGAAATAATGTCTATACAATAAGGAGATATGGATGAAAAAGAAATTATAAATATTCCATTAGAAATCCATAATTTGTATGAATAAACAGTTCCAAATTAAATTTGGCAACTTCCAATTAATTCTAATTTAGAATCTGAAAGACCATTAGTATTTTTAAGTAATTGTGATCCTTCAGAGCTTCGATTGAAAGATTCAAAGGATTAAGATAATTTCAATATTATGTAGAATAAAGCAAAAAGTTCTATTAATACCGAAAAAAATTAGATTTCTAAAAATGATTAAGAAAAATTTGATGATGCTGGTTCTTAAATTTCTTCAGTAGCTGCAATTAGAAGGTCAATCTATTTTAAATAATTTTAAATTGTAAATGATTTAATATTCTCTAAAATATTTCCACCCAATATTAAGGCATTTAACATCATCTTTATAATCTATGTTATTGTTGGAGTTCTTAATTTTAGTCTTTTAATTGATTAAGTTGCAAACTTATAGAAATATTAAGAATTAATGGTATTATTGAAAATAAAATATGATATCTATGAACCAATAGAATCATTCTTAAATACAAGATATACTATAGTTGGATTGAATGGAGCATTGTCAAGTAAGATTATATCTTAACAGGAATATGATTATTTAATTAAGTTTCCAAGATCAAATTTAGCAAAGGGATATGATGATCTAAAAGTGAACATTATGGATGTTATTTAGAAAAGAGAGTTTCAATCATTTCTAAAAGATAAATACTTTGAAGCGTTTTGGTATACTTCTACTAATAAAGGAAGCTAAAGAAATACAACTTTTAGAAGTGGAATTTTGGCTATGCTCAATTATCAATATGAATACAAATTGGCTTATACTATCAGACCTCTTGTAATAGATAGTGCTTACTCTTATTATTCATATAAGAATTACATTCCTATTTTTGAAATGTTTACATAATTTAATTCAGATGTCTTAGAATTACTCATATTATTGCTATAAAATTAATAGTATGAACTAGCATTGATAAATATTATCTTTAATATATTATTGGCATTAATAACATTGGGATATGTATCATATTTAATTAAATAACGTAAATTAAAAAACAAATTTTTAAGTCTGCTATGTCAATAAGACAAGGATGTCATGCATTAAGAAAGTCATCGATTATCAATACTTTCTACTTAAATCAATACAAATTATAATCATATATGTCAATATGCCCTAGATATTTAAATATTCGATGATAATTTAAAGATGCGCGAAAAGGATTACTATGATTTAGTCAATAAAAAGGGTAAGAAAATCAATAACTTAAGAAGAAATAGACAATTAAATCTCATTAACTTTTTCTAAATTTCGATTGCATTAGCAAATTTCTGTTTCTTTTTACTAATAAATATACTAACAATTGATTCTCTTGATAAGTATTTGTTTAAATAAAAAAATACTGGAGAAATTTATTCATCACTTTCAAACACAGGAGTTGATGTTTTAATTATCTATGCTCAAAGAGAAGTTATGTATAGGATTGTTGCTTTTTCATTTCTATCACCAAAAGACATTTAGGATATTCAAGATCAGATTGATACAAGTCTTCATTAAATAACTAATTTTTCATAGAAGTTTATTGAAGTTAATCAAGATGATTATCTACTTGATGAAAATTCAATAAAACTATTTCATGATGCAAGCACCTCATCAATATGCAATTTCTTACCTGAAGTAATAATTATTATAACTGTAGAAATATGCTAATGTTTCACAATCTTTATGTCCTATTGTTTTACATGGAATATTGACTAAAGGATTGATAGCAACTTTAAATTTGATGCAAAATTCACTTTTCGCTGAAAAATAAGTTAATAACTTTACGTCGAGATCTAATAGTTAATTACCTGTAAAGGAATTAGAAGGGGCAACATTTACTGCTTGGGTTATTTAAGAATTAGTCAATAAACTTGAGCAAAATTTAAAGAGTTATTCGACTTAACTTTAATAATCATATAATGTATATAAATAAATCAATATTACTAGTTTATTTATGCAATTGGTATTGTATTGTAGGTAATCTTTGGCTTATGTGTAATTGTAGTAAACAGTAAGTATGAAGTTTAATAAATCAGCCTTCTTAAAAGAGTTGTTTATTTAATACCCTAATCTATATTGCTATTTGATGATTCTTTTTAGAGGCAAATCAAAATAGTCTTAAAATAAGAAGAACTTTAATGAAATATTTCTTAAAATTATTTAGTAGATTCTAATATTATAGAATTATTTTTACAACTTTATTATTATTAAATATAATTAAGTTGGGTATTTAATTAAATTTTCATAATGTATTTATTCTTTGAAAGAAAATAACAAATTTCAAATCTGATTTTATTCATTAATCCAATTTCATGCAATTAATCGAAGTTTATGCTTACAATCATGAAAATTATCATTTCTTACTTTCATTCATTTTCATAATACTTTGTGATGTTTCTTTTATTCTTGATCATAAAATATTTGTTTCTCGTTTTAAAAGTATTTCATTGTGTTAAACGATAGTATGTTATTTATAATTAATTTTGGAAAGTCAATTAGAAAAGACAAGTTCTATATTATTTTTAATTAAATTTTTTGTAATTTTATTTTGTCCAAATAGATAATATAAAAATTAATAAGTAAATTTGGAGATTGAAAAGAGAAATATATATCTCATTAGAAATTCTTTAGCTTTTTCTGACATAATATTGTGTTCCAAAACTCAACAAAAACATAATTTGAATGCAGTAATTATTAAATCATTATTAGTTTTCAAAAACTTAAATAACAAAGAAAAACGCACATTATTTTAATTTTACAAAAAATAGAATTTCTGAAATAATTTTTTGTTAATTCTGTAATATCTCTTGAAACACTTAGATTAGAGACACTATTTATCCACACTAAGAAGGCATAATCTAAATCTTGGTCTAATATGAAAGTGATTAATTTTGATTTTATCCTAGGATCAATAAAAAGCTAATATTTAATTAAAGAGTCTTATCTATATCTCCTTTTAAAGTAAAAAGTATCCAAATTAGCATCACAAGTCTTTAAGAAAAAAACTAACTGACTAATATTTTACTTCCAAAAGCAAACTTTGTTAAGGATTTGATTTTATCTTTTACCCTAAAAATTAGTTGTGATTAAATAATTAGTAAAATCCTTATTTAGATATGAATAGCTATTAATTAGACAAATCTTCTGATACATAAATAACAAAGCTATGTTTAAACTATAAATTTCTGGGGTTGAGTATTCCTATTCTAATTAAGACTGGAATTGAAATAGCAATATTATTAAAAAACTCATCAATTACATTGATAACAGCCTAGAATTTATAATTAGTAAAACTCATGTATATATAAAGTAAGAATAGATAATAAGCAAAAACAGTGATATAAATAAACATTATTGCTAATGATATAATCAAAGATTCATAATTTATAAATATTTTTTATTTTCATACATTATTCATTAATTATCACTATTTTATTAATCCTACTATTATAGCTAATCAATTCTGACAATATCTAGAAACTCGGGATAGACTTTCGTTTTACTTATTTAATCAATATTATTTTAGGTTTCTCTTTTATTTGAATCAAATGGCAAGTTTAAATATGCTACAAATTAAATAATATTCTCATCTTGATTTTATTCAATAGGTTTATTATTACATTACTAAATACTTGGAATATTATATCTACCAGGATTAGCCCTTACTATTTTCATCAGATATTATCTAATCTTTTAAAATCGATCTCTTACTCTTTATTATTGTTCTCCCCTGTTAGTAAGTAATCTACTAAAGAGCCAATTCTTTTGCTATAATGTTGGAAACTTTTTATTTATTTTTTCCCTAATCTTATCAATATTCTCTTATTAATCTTCCAAATAAGCAAGTACGATTTCCCAAAGAATGATCATTATAAAGGTAATATTGATGCTAACCAAAATTATATAGAAAGGCCAGATTATTTCTTGATTATCAGAAGATGAAGCTGAGTATAAGGTCATACCAAGAACAATTGAAGTTTCACAAACAAGTGTGCTGATTTCATCAATGATATTTAGATATGATAATTTGTAAGGCCTGAATTTCTTAGTCAATATTGAATAGATGAATGTTATAATAAAGATCATGGCTGCTTTAATGATAATTAAATCTTCATAAAAGGTCAAAAAAACAATCATGAATCCTTTTTCAAGAATTTTGACAATCTCCCAAAAGTAAGCCTATTGAGAATATTCATTATACAAATAACCCCAGATCTTTCTAGTCTCACTATCTGTCAATTTATTTCTCTTTTAATACAGACTTAAAAACATATAAATCGGAATCACTAAAGCGAGACAAAGAGTTGAAGGCAATATAAAAGTTATCATCCAATTAAAATGGGATTGAGTATCATATCTATAAGCAACATTTCCTTGAATCCAATAAATATCTGAGATTTTCCTAAAAGACAATAATGAAATAAACCCTCCTAATAGAGTAGGCTATAAATATGTAAATAAATATATAGCGCTTGTTGTTATGGCACTCTTATTAGCTTTAGTTGGACTAATCAAAATCCATATAGTGTATAACAGTAAAAAGCTGATAATATATAAAATGGGCATAATTAGAGCCCATATCATTCTAAAGTAAATGATATCAATATTTGATATACTAATTAAGAAGCAATCCAATGAGAAACTCATTGATTCTACAGGATTGCTAACAGAACGAATGCTAGACTAAATTACACTTGGCAATTACAATTAAAATGTTGATATGGCTCCAACAATTTGAAGGTAATTGGTCAACACTTTAATTAATACTCCACCAAACCCTACCTTTGGATTTTTAGCAAAGATCTTCAATTTGGATAGTTTATTTTCAAAGTCTATTTTATTTGCAGCATCAACAGTTCCTTTGACTGAAATTAAAATAGAGATCATAGTCCAAAAACTCATAAGCACAATTTTAATTGTATTATCACCTATATTTTCACAACTTCCACATTTGTATAAAGAACTTAAAGAATATTTGCCATTTCCTCTAATATCATAAATATCACACTATTCACAAAGTGCTCCAATGTGGGCACTAATGCACAAATCATTTCCTGGATTCCAACCACCTATACAATTCTCTGGCAAATTTTAACAGTACTCAATAGTATGACTGTATTCATATGGTCTCCAATAAAATGGTTTCAATTTGACTCTTGCTGCATTCACTTCATCCATTATTAATTGGTTCTTTATTTAGCATTACTCGCCTGCCTAAATATTATACTAATCAAATTGAGCATCACATAAAACACAAGTGCCATCATGTTTTTTATACTCTCCTCTTTAGCATGGGAATGTTTACATATCAAATATTAGAGAATAATTAGTTTGAAAAGAAGTTAAGTAATATGGAGGATCTTGAGAGTACAAGCCAATTGATACTGAATTGCATGATATTTCTAATTGCAAATATCCGTTAAGATTCAAATCTGGATTGAAATACACAATAAGGGAATCTAAATTGTAATCTTATGAAGTTTCATTGAAAAGGACACTCTTCAAATTTATTAGGCTTGAATTATATTCTCCTGATTTTGAATCAATGATTTAACGACTTCTTATAAGACACTAAGATCCAGTCAAGTTTTTGATTCTATCATATTATTTGTTCAAAGGGATGATCCTTAAGCTAAAATTGTAGTTGATAAAACTTTAAGTAATTTCATCATAAAATTTATAAGCTGACACTATTTGCCCACTAGGAACCATAATATAATTGTAAGTATTTGGACCTATGGTGTAGTTATTAAAGATAATTTAGTCTAAAACTTATTAATTATTGTTAATTATTCTTTTTGTCCAAAGTAATTAATGTTCTATCTAGATAGTCAATTAAGAGGGATTTTCAACCAAATTATCTCCAAATTTCTAAGCTTTGTTATTTCTTAAATAATTGTTCAAGATCTTAGGATCGTTCAGTTAATACTTTCCCAAGTATAATCCTCCTCCAACATTGGCGCTATTGTGTGTTATTAAAGAATTATATAAATGCAATTTTGAACCATCATAATGTTAATAGAAGATGGCCCCTCCAGACTATATTGCAGTATTTTAGTTAAAAATACAATTATTGATTAATGTATTAATTTTGGATATCAGCAACGCTCCTCCATATGTTGCTTTATTCTCAATGAAAACACTGTTTAAAATTATTACTTCTGTATTGATATTACCAATAATCTAATCAGATTATAAAATTCTATTTTTATTCTATATTTGAATAGATTTTGAATCCAAAGATGACATGACAACACAACCAAATTATCCGCAAGTATTATTTTTGAATGTTGAATCTGCGATATAAATCAAATTTATTGAATCAGATTTATCAATATTTGTAATTTGAAAGATGCTACTTTAGCAACCTGAACAATAATTTTACTCCATTTTAAATGTTTAAAACAATAGATAATGTAACATAGACACTTAATCTATATTAAAAATTGTAATTAATTATTATCTTCCATTAATTATTCTGTAAAAATTATTGAGTGAGATTATTTCTTTTCTCTATATAGTATAAAAAACGTCTATATTCTCTGGAATCTCCAAATTTTAACTACATTTATATACAGAATTCAACAGAACTTCTAATTTCTCTTTCGGAATTTCCACGAACCCATGAAATTCTATTACTTTTTCTACAGATACTTCGTTTAATGTAATTTTACTCGAAAATTCTAATGAGATTATAATAATAATAAATACTTTTATTCAGTATTATGTTAATAATTGCTTCTGATAACATTGTAAAATTTTTAATGTCCACATTTGTAAATATTATTGATTCACAGCCAAGACAATTCAAAAACCCATAATTAAAGATATTTCTATATATACAATTTTGCATTGTAACATTTCCTTAATCTATTGAAATTAAATAATTATTTTTTTGATTTTATACTTCAATTGGTTTGAGATCTACTATTTCCTCTAAATATCTTAAATAGCCACTGTAAGAATTAGTAATTTAAACATTAGAAAATTGAATAAAAAGTAGTAAAGAAGAACTTGTAAAACTTACAGGTATTTTTAAGAAAGGTGTCATCAACGAATATATATTCTAAATACTAAAATCTTAAAATTTGATAGAACTTTTTATTCTGGAAGGCTCAATATAAATGCATCCTCCTTCATTTCTGCTAAAGGAATTTGTTATCGTAATGTTATGTATTAATAGATCTAGCTAAGATTATGAAGAGTCAATATATAAAGTGCCTCCTTAAGACTTCTCTGAATTTTTTGTAATAGTATTACAATTTACAAATTAAGAATTCATCAACTTCAATGAACCCAAAGATTGAGGTATCAGATAAAAACCTCCTCCGAATAATGCTTAAGTATTGTTTACATATAAATTATCCAAAAAGATCTCTGAACCTTTTATATATCCCGCTCCTCCTTTAGAATATATTGGAAATGATTCATACAAATCTTCCAATTAAACCTAGTCATCATATGAGAATCCCCAATTTAAATGTTGTGAAAAAGACTAAAACACTATGTTATTTTGATTTAAAAACTAAGAATCAATTAATGACACCGATTTAACAATCAAAATAAGATTAGAGTTCTCTCCATTTGTAACTATATTATTTAAAAATATTGAATTACTCATTTCAACAGTTGAGTATGGAGTAATTAATAAAATTGTTGAAGAGGAAATAAAGGATATGTCTTCAATATAACTGTGTTAAATATTATTTTCTGAATGTATATTCGAAAACACTATTGTTTATTCTTGTTCGGATATTATCGCTAATACTCCTAATTATTCTGAAGTTTTAGTTATCAGAAGAATATTTTCAGTGAATTTGCAATTTAAAAGAGTAATTTTTTCTTATTGTCTTTTATTTTATTTTTCAATAGATTTTATTAAAATCAAAGGTAAATTTATAGTTGTGAGATTCTATATAATGAAATTTGACATTTCTAAGTTCAGTATATTAAAAAAGAATAACATAGTTGTTTGTCTGGCTTCATCTACAGAAAAAAGACATGATTTCGAAGGATGAAGAATTTTAAATTATTTAATCAATTGTCCTGTAAATTAATTAATAATAACATTCTTGACATTTTTTATTGTAAATTCAGGTAAACTTAGATTTCTCTTAATCAACACATTATTCATTTCAAGTTGAGTTATGTCTAAATAAATGGTTGAATTTTCTAAAGTAATTGCACTCTATTTTGATGCTTTTTACAATATCATATCATTATTAATTAATGAAAAATTAGTAATTATTATTTCCAAAAAGCGAAAGTTACTACTCTAAATAATTTCTATGAAGCACTTACTACTCACATATTAATTATTCTAGAATTCAATATTATCAAATGATAAAACATTTTTAGAAACAGAGTCTAAATCAGAATATACAATATTTATTAAATTTGTGATTACTCTATTGTCATAGCCTTGAAGTCTATTGCCAATGAAGTAGAAATTTTTAATAACAAATAGTGGCAATTAAAATAATTTTGTTCCTTCATAAATAACACTATTTTCTATAGTAAAGTCTTGAAGTAGTACATTAAGAGCACCATATAAAATTGCGTAGCCAGATTATGTTAAAGTATCTCGATTTACAGAAAACCCTTTAATTATGAAGCTAGATTCTCTCTTTGATAATGGAAAGTAGGTTTCAAATAATGAAGATAAAATAAACTTATTTTGAAAAGATTTGATCTAGGTTATTTCATGAAGTTGATTGTTACAATTATCTTACAAAATTTGAAGGATAACTTATGTGTTGTAAAATGAAGAATTTTAAAGAGTGATATTATTTGCCTAGAATTTAAATCTATCAGTAATTGTTTTTGTGAATGAATAGGCAATGATCCCTTTAGTATCAAATATTTTCGAATTGATAATTGAAAAATTATTAATATAGATATTTTTAGGATCTTAGATTAAGATTTAAAATTTATAAATATCTGAATCCTAAATTATGAAATCCTCTAAATTCAAACTAACTCTATTAAGTAGTTGTGAGATATCAATAGAGCTTTATTTGCTTGATTTGATTATTAAAAAATTTTTGATTGTGATCTTAGTGAAATCTTGGAGATAAAGGGCACCTTGAATGAAGGTCTTCTTTTTTATATCTCCATTCAAAACAATTTCTAAATATTAAAGAGTAAAGACATTTCTTCGAAGATTTGAGAAGATTACTGCATTAGGAGGGATAATACAAGGCTCATCATTATAGTATTTAAAATTCAGAACATATTTAGCTGATTTGATCGATTTCTTATTAAGCTCGTCAAAAAGCTTCTCAGATTCAATAGAGAAATGAGTTTCTGAAAATAAGTGAGATAAAGCCATATTCTTGTATCGAAATGCATTCTTGTCAATTGAAAAATCCAAGTCATAATCATATGCATTTTAACTGCAATAAATTGTATATTGTTGTTCTAAATATTAAAAGCACTTTTGGTATTGCTAGCATAAAATCTAAGTATTTAAGATTGGGTCGCGATAGATATACTGAAACTTCATTAAAGTTTTATCAGGTTCATAACCCTTAATACAGGATTTTGAATAAATAGTAAGTTGACTATATTCCGGATTAAAGTAAGGGTTGATTTATCTAATTTCATCATAATTTAATTCTCTACATAAGACACAATTAGCAGGGCAGTCTGTGCATTGATTATTGATCAAGGTTTAAATAGGTTAATTGGTATTTATTAAGGATGAGGGACATTCGACACAAACATATAGATCATTTTGTATAATACATTTGGAACAACTGCATTTTGGGATGCATTTTTCATTATAGAGTTCATATCCTTCTTCACATGATGTACAATAGACTTCATAATCATCTACATTAGTTGTGGCACACTTAAAATTAAAATTGCTAAAGCAATACTCTGCGCAAGTTCTTGCACGGTAATATGCCCTAATTTCCCATTTCCATCCATCTTTATAAACTTTATGTTACATTTGACATGTTTTACAATGTAACTTAGCCTAACATAAGTAACATTAACCTGAATGAAATTCAGCATAATAACCTTGATTGCACAGCATACAGTATTCATTAAACCAAACATAATTTTTGATACAATATCTGCAATTTCTTTTAGAACATTCTGATAATAAATCTTTCTCATATTAAGGTGTTGCGTCTAAGCTTTTTTTGACCTTTCTATCTATATTACACATTACAGTGACATTAAACACTTTTTCATCTACAGTTGCGGTCATATAATCCCCTAGAGACATAATAAACCTCACGATTTACCCCAGAGATGATGATAGTTCATGAAACAACATTATTTAGAAATGATCATCTTCAGGTTCTGGAGCAATTTAAAGAGAATTAAATTTTGGGATTTCTATATCAGTAATTTCTGACTCTAACATACATTTATCTTTGCCCCAATCATATTCATAAAAGTTATACAGATAACCTTTTTCACATAGTGCGCATCTGTCTTAATAATATGAAGAAGGCTTAGAAAAATTGAAATCCCAACTTGTTTAAAAATTAAATTTATGAGTATCATTCTAAATAACAGAACGATGATAGAATTCTTGATATTAATAAATGCAATGAGGCATAGTTTTTGGCTTGCAATTAATATGATCAGCGTCAATAAAAAATTCTTTGTTATCAATACATTTAAAACACTACATTTAAATGAAATCTCCATCTATTGGTATTCCTGGTTAACATATAATACAATTAGCCCCACATTACAGACATTCATTATTTACAGTATCTAAGTAATAACCTATTTCACATTTTAAACAACCCAATTTCAATCCATTATATATACAATCCTGAGGACATATAGTGGGACATTTGTAACAATAATTTTAATAGAGAGTGTAACCTTATGAGCAAGATATACATTAATCTGAGTCACAAGAATCGCAATTACTGTTGATATATATGCATTCTCCATTAATAATTTAATAACATGTTTTGCATTTAACTTTTATTTCTTTCTCAAAATTTAGTCTGACAATATAATCAGAATTTGCAGTTGTTTCACCTAAGCAACCTTAACAAAGCTCGATCTCTATTTTATCCATATTAGAATTGAAATTTATTAGGAAATATTCATATTCTATTGGTTTTCTGGCCTACTTTTAATAAGCGCTTGTTGAGCTTTAAATTAGTTATTCATAGTCTTCTGTGCAAATTGGATTTGAATACCATGTCTTCTATTAATTCATACAATCAACACATAATAATTTCCTTTTATTAATAAAATCTGGCTCCTTATTGCCTGGACAATCAGCACAATATGTTACTTGCCCAAACTATATATAAAACTAACCTAAACCACAGGCAAAAGAATCAGAATCTTCACTTTCCAAAATAGTAATGTCTTAAAAGTATTATAGGCTTTCTAAAAGTAATATTGATTTCATTACTAACACATTGAGTATTTTCATTCTCTAAGTAAGAGGCTCTACATCCACAGCTACTTTGACCTGGATTGTACACTCGGTTTGTAGATTCTTCATCTGGACAGGTTATGCAATGAGTTTCTGAAGGGCCAAAACAACTCAAGCAACTATAGTGACATTCTATAATGCATGAAATTTCCATACTTATAAAATATTCGATATCACTGTTATGGCAATATTGAAACTCCATCTATTAGATTTGGCCATCAAAATAATAGAACATATCTCCTCCTAAAGTCATATAAAATGATGTTTCCAGCAAGTGAATTTTTTATAACTAAATTACATCTGTTCTTTTATTGCTACCTCCATTTCCCCAATAAATTGTACTCTAAATATTATTAATTCCACTTCTTCCTTCTTCATAAATAAACCAATGCCATTCGGTGACTGCCTTGCTATAAAATGAACTCAAATAACTTATCATATCATTATAATTGGTTGTATAAGGGATGAAAGGGTTGTTCTCATGATAAGTAGTCACAATCAATCCTGATAAATCTGGTTAATCTGAGTTTAGCAAATATTACCATAACAAAGCTTTATCTCCATAATACATATCATCTTAGTATTTTTTCATCAAAGACATTCTAAATAGTGTTAATTTTCTCTATTGATATTATGGAACCTGAGTGACTCTTACCCATCCGCTAATTAGGAAGCGAGAGTTTTCGTATTTTAAATTTGTTAGTATACGAGCACTTTTATCATTAAAAATTGCATTTTCAAAACTGATTATTTTATTTTGGCCTAAACACTCAAATTTCCTCACACACTCAGTTGATTCAATATTGTCAAGGAAAGAATAAATATCACCATAATAGCTGGATTCCCCAAATCTTAAATCGATATCACTAATCAATCCAATAAACACGCATAAATTATAATTTATCGATTCATCAAATGGATTTATTAACTATTTTTATCCTAAAAATAATTACCTTAATTGTTTATCCTAAATAATATTCTTTAAGCAAGTCATCTACATCGTAAGGTCCGCCCGCTGACATACTTACATGAAATGTATCATTTTCGACATATAAGAACGTGCTGAAAGATTTTAAAGCCTCCTTGAAACAAAAATAGAAAAAAACCCATTTTTTGTTAACTGTTGCTGTATCTACTTTTAACTCTCTAATTTACAACACTCCTCCATGCTATATTAATAATCGATGAGAAAATATCAATTTCTCTCTATCTACTTCAATAAAATATGATAAAATAATTCTTTCTGTATATTTTTCTGTTAACACATGCATATTTGATATTGTTTAACTTAATTGTTCTGGATTCCCATATCCAGGTTCATATTTTGTCCAAACTCCCCATCCATGACTTTTTGTTCCGAAATTTGTGAGGTCTGATTAAATAATCCTTTATTCTGTATCTGGTGTTGTGATAATATCAAAAACACAATTACTAATTCCCAAATGAAAACTAATATATCTTGAAAATCTTACTATATAGCAAATATAATAACAACCTAAAAGTACATCAATTACTTAAGTGATATTAATAATAATTTTACCAGAAATGAAAACGAATTTAATAATTAAAAATAGATCAAATTGTCAATCTTATAACACAACAAATTGTTGTATTCCATTAAAAATCAATACATAAAAAATTAAGATATTATTAGAAGAATATTTCTAATATAACTATTGATTACTAATTATAACATATTATCACTATTTGTAAAATTCGTTTATGTTAAAATAACGTAAAATGTAGAATAAATTCTGTTTGTTATTTATCCTAAATACAACTATTATTTATCCTATAAAAGACATCTTATATTAAGAAATAAGGAATATTTTGCAACATCAAATAATAACAACATCAGAAATGAAAACTGTATTTTCATGATATATTTCTATTACAAATTATAATCTTTAAAATTTAATCCCAAGTTGCAGATATTTTCTCTTTAAATTAATTAAACTACATTAAAGTAGTTTGAAAAACTCAATACTTAAATTCTATTAATGCTTCTTATAATTCAGGGATCTGATATAAATATTTTCATTCACCTAATTTTTATTAAAAAATTTATATGAAACCTTTGTTTTATAATCATTTTGCAGCACATAAAATTTCTATTACTTCACATTTATTGAATAAAAATTAATTTTCTCTTGATTTTATTAATTTATCATTCTATAAATTGAAAGTTTTTGACTACAATGGCCCATCAATTTTAATTTTCATCAAATGGCTTAAATTCTATTTTAATATAAATTTTTATTTGAATAAAGTTATAATCAGGAAAAAGTGACTTAAAGTTCCTATTTTCAATTTAGAGTTGTGCAATCTATGTTAGTAGGAAATGAAAAAGAAATTTTAGTATGATTGTTAAAATTTAATCTAAGCAACCTTAAAATAAACTCTTATTATCGAAGTTTACTTCCAAACTAAATCCATAATAATACCTGCTGATTAACCTTTTAAATTTATTTCTCTTTAGGATATTAGTTTCTATAAAAAGAATTATTACTAACTACATTCTAAAATTCGTTTCATTAACAATACTTCTCAATTTCATATTATTTATATTTTCTTTCAATAGAATTGTCTAATTTTTAAAATACTTTGGTTTATGACTCTTTTTATTCAAAATAAAATTCAATGTTTGAATTTTCTGCAAATTTATAGCCTTGAACTTATTGAGGACAGAAATATTCCTTAAATTAGCAAATGCTAAAAAGTTTTAGATTTTATTTGGTTCATTAACAGAAATTATTATTGATGATAAAATAATATTATTATAAATAAATTATTTTAAATCAATATGTATAGTATATCGATAAGATGACAAGAAGAAATAGATAAGAAATACAAATCCAACAAAAAATACAAGATTAATAAAGCATCACAAAATGTTGTCACAATTATTGAATTTTTTTGCAAAGTTGTTGATGTTTTACTAAATCCATACTAATCCTCTAAGCATTTTGAAAATTTTAGGTATAATTGTAAAGAAAGTCCTTTAGTTAAATTTAATCATTTCATAATAAGACTATAAACAGTATTTGATCTGATTAATTTCCTATGAAATGGAATGATTTTCAGACTACTACCAACAGACAAGCTCAAATCATTTAACCTAACCCATTAATCTGAAATTAGATTATAAGGTATTGGTCATAGGATTTTATCACAAATTTTTAAAATACTTAAAACTAGATCTAATCATTTACTTTAAGTAACCCAAATTGGAATTTATGAAGAAATTTTGGGTAAATATTAGAATAATTAAAAATGAAATAACCTTTTTCTATCTTACTCATTAAATTCCAATTCTTATCATTCTTAATCACTAAGAGACATTTTGACTTTAAAAATTAGTTTAAATATAACCACTTGAAACCATTTCTAGCAATATCCATTCTTCATTGAATACTTTTAAGGATTAATATTCATTTATATTAAAAAATAATTGAAACCTGTATTAATCTACTTTCATATATGACATAAAATCCAATGAATCTTAATTAACAATTCTATTAATTCTAACAAATTATAATTGAATAATCTATTCCAGAAAAAAAAAATACTTCAGTTTAGATCATACTATAATGTCTTTTTATCATTTGACTTAAATGAGCTTACTAAAGATTATAAAGCAATATTTTTAATCTTCAAATTTATTGTCTATCATAATTTGAATTAATGATAAGAAACTTTTCTAAGAGCGAAAAGAACGTATCTTAAATGAATATTTATCTAAAATTATTTTCTAATCCTCACTTGACAGAAGTAATATTTCAGTTATTTTTTTATTATGTTTACATATTTTCATAAATTTAACGTTGTGAGTGTTGAGAATTTGGTTAGAATTTTCGTTTTTGAAAATATTTAGTTATAAGAAATCTAATTTATTTTAATAAATTATTATGCTTATAATTCAATTCGTTTTGTGTATATTTTCTGCAGATGCTGATCATCTATTTGAGTAAGGAGTGATCTAGCATTTCAATTATGTAAGCAATCCCAATTTAATCTTACACTTTTCTTCTGCTAAATTTAGGCAAGAAGAGGTTTTTATACCTTTTTCAAAGTAATTCTCATAAGCACCAGATGTGTACTTAAATGTCAAGTAAATTGATTTAGCTTATACATTTCCTTAGGGATATACATTAGACATAACGAGCATTAGCACATTAGGTAGTTTGTCATAACTGAAGTAATTTAGGTTTTAAAGTAAAAATGGTTTGTGAGAGCCCAGAGTTATTTTTTGGAGTCATTTTCAATTGGTTTGCATTTAATGATGATAGTGTCTAAGTTATAAGCAATTTGAATATCACTTATCCAAATTCTTAATATACACATTCATATATGAAAAATTGCAAGATTGATGTTGCCCTTTCTAATTTAGTTAGTTTTTATGCTGAAGGACCATAATTTAATAATGTGACTGTATACAATTAGATTATTTAGGGATTATCATTAACCACAGACACAGTTACTATAAGTTTTTACACCTATAATGTTAAACAAATTGGATATTAAATTTTATTAACTTCATCCGATCTTTTTTTAATTGGCCCAACAATCACGAATATCTCGCCTTATGGCTCGAGTTAAATTGTTAATTTTCCATAAGGATGGGAAACACAAAATTGTTTTTCTAATCTTCTTGGGTTTAAACATGATGGAACTGATCATAACATTAGATTAGATTAAAGAATTTTATATTCTCCGAATATAATTGTTGGATTTTACCCTTGTAATGAATTATTAATATATAAGGGCATGAAACTATAATTTAATCAATCCAACACAATTATTTTTGTATAAATGATGCATATTTTGATTTGGCAATCTTTGATGGTTTGATGCAAACATAATTTTTTGATAAAACTAATTAAATAGAAACTCATATAGAAATATTGGAAATAAACTATAATTAAAATTAAAATGTAGGAGAAGAAATTACTATCCCACAATGTATTTAATCTCTCAAAATTATATATTATTGGAAATGCATAGGTTATGAATAATTAAAGCTGCAATTATTTTGCACAGAAGTATGGTGTTCTTCCTCCAAAGTTTAGTGTAATGTCGATAAAACTAATATAGTAAGGCTATCAGCATCATTTTTGTTTATAACAGCTTCAGAACAATATATTTAAATTACTAAATCTTCAGCTTCCTTAACTGCAACCTAAATAATCAAGTAATAAAACCCATTCTAAAAAGTATTATTCAAAGTTGAAATGGTAACATGATTTCATCATATATGAAATATTAAATTTAAGTTTACCACCAAATCTTATTCTTATTTCAATATTACAAGATGGAATACTTTTTAATTATAAATTGCTTTCTTTTTTCATTTTAAAAGTAATAAACTAAGATTTCCAAAATATATTAAGAATAAAAAAGATGTAGTTGTCCAGATCTTAATAAACTCTTAAGTATGTAACTGAATACAGATAAGGATTGATAATCCAACAGCATCTACAGAATATAAAATTATTTTTCTTTTTATTACCATATTAAATTTGTTAATTAACCCCAAACAATTTGAAACAAAATTGATATTATTCATTAATATTACTTTATTTACTGAAATAGAGGGATAAAAAATATTTTTTATTATTAATCATCTTTTGGTTTTACTTAAATTTCTTTGGTTGAGCAAAATGGATGAAGAAAGAAAATTTTGTCTGAAATACCTTTGTCATAAAATTCAAAATCAATTTTAATGATTATTCATGCAATTTAAAAAAAATAGGAGCTTCGTTCTTTGTGTTGTTGATGACTCTAAATCTTCATTTAATAGCTCTTCACTTTTCATTCAATTTTTTCTGAATCAAGCTTCTTTCTTAAAAAATTCTATTTGTTTTCTCTATTTTTAATTGGAGAAAAACCAATAAGGTCATTCAAATAACAATATTCTATAAGTATGAGCAATCACTTTAGTGTAGATAAAATTTGCTTTTATTATCAATTAAACGAGTAAATTTAAATAAATATTAGAATCATATAATAAAGAAAACCCTGATTTATTTTCTACATATGTAGTTTGTAAATATAAAATAAATGAACAGATATAAAGAAAATTTCTAAGATAAAAGAAATAATTCTTTTTATGCACAATTCATTTATTTTTTGTTATTTAATATGATAAATATTTACTATATTGGTCAGCTAAAACCTAAAGTTGTAACTAATATCAAATTTTTCTCCACAACAATTTTTAGATTTTAATTAATTAATTTTTACCCATCCATTCCATTTCGTATTTTACACATTCCTTTGATGCCTTTTATTTCTTTAGATCCCCCAATACAAGGCATTCTCACTTAATAGATATATCGGTCTTAATTATGTGTTTAAAAATTAGTATAGGTTTAATAAATTGATAAGTCATGGTCAAATTAGTTGTAAGCAAATAAGTTTTTCTTTAACTTCAGAACTTATTGCTGGAAATCTAATTCTTATGATAGCTTACTTTAAAATCATTATTTTCTAATAATCAATTTATCAACTTTATTGGGCTGTTCAGAATTAAAA